AAAAGTTAAACACATTTTTTTTCCATCGACGGCACATGTTTACTACGCCCGACATGTGTTCGAGTCACGTTTCCGCCAGCACCTGTTGCTTCCAGACTCTATTTCGAGCAATCTTCTTTAAAACGCATTCGCTTTTTACTCACTACTTCCAGATAATAACAAACGCTAAAAACTAAATTAACAAAGAGAACCGTAAATCGAAAAATAGGAAAAATTCAATTTCGATTTCCGGGTTTTGCGCAAATTCTTCTTCTTCGCAACGGCCAATAACCTTAAACAGAATTCTGCAGAATGTTGTGATAACGGGGCGCTACACTTCGCCATTAATAAATGTGAAAGGCGGCTTTTGAATTGGGTTAATTGGTTGTGCCGGAAAATTAATGGATGCGTTTGGTACCTGAATTAGATTGGAAACTGGAAAAAATTTAACTCTTGTTTGGAAAGGAATTTAGAATTCTCGATTTTATAGTTTTCAATTATCCTAATTGAAAATATATATATATATATATAAAGTGTCGTAAATTGGTTATTTAATTATTTATTAATTAAATTTATTTTATTTGTAACCTGATGAAATTGATTAAATTGTTTTATTACATACCACTTTTAAGTTGAAGAAGTTGGTTAAAATTAAATTATTTATTTTTATCTTTACCGGTTTCAATTAACTAAAATCATCCTCAGGATAAGCATGGATAATTGTTGAAATAATAACGGTACGTTAGGTATGTTAGCACAAATATTATTGATAATCTATAAATGGGCATCGAGTTACTCCAGATTTAAGTCAGCGAATGCTCGACTCTGCCTATGTCGTTTGTTTGCCTTCCGTTTCTAGGTCAATTGAATTTTATAAGGGTGCAGGTTCAACTCTTGATGAAAAATTCGATAGGTTGAGGTCGGTGAAAGGCAAAGTTTTTGGGGAGATTTTCACTTCGACATTCAGGTGCAATTCGAGTAGTTGAAACATTACAAGACGATGAAACAAGGATGCAGCACGAACTCTGCACTAATTTTAATAATAAAATTTATGACCATGCGTTGCTTAACACTGCAACTTTCGATTATAATTTGCCTAACATTATTTACTACTACTTTCATATTTGATAGTTTGAGGTATACTAATCCTGGTGCAAAACCCGTTAGAGCTTTTTTGTCTTTTGGTTCTAAAAAATATACAATCGAAAACTTTTCATCTGCGTCTGATGAACCTGGATGATGCTGAGAGATTCCAGTAGCGATGCTGATTCAGATAAAGGTTGATTTTAAAATGTTACCAACGATATCGAGGAGAAGGATGTTGACACATATCTTGGGAAATGATTAAGAGGCCCCAGTTGATATTGGAGTAAGTTGGACTTTGAAACATGAGCGGATAATGATAATTAAAGATTATATTAAGAATAATTACAAGACTGCAAGATATTACACATTACAAGATGTTGGAGACTATGGAAGACGTATGACGAAGTACCGATTTTGAAAGATGTCGAAACGATGTCTTCGAGTGTTCTTGAATATGTCATGGACAATGTTTATGAAATCAAAGTTTGAGGTTGAGGTTGGTGAATGATGATCAGAGTTCGGGCAGTTTAGGAAACGTACGAACCTCAACACATGGTAACAGATAGAGAGATGGTTTCATATTCACGACCAGAGTAGATGGTTATCAGCTGCTGTGTGTTAATTGCTGCTTTTATTTACCTGATTCCGCAAAAAATGTGTTTTATTGGACATCTATTATACTTCACTTGCAATTTTTCTGCGATTTCCACCTTCTCTTTCACTATACCCATTCCGATTCCTATTCCAACCCTAATATCCATCTCCAGTACCTTGTTTCTATAGCTTCTTATATAATTTTTGTTTTTTCCATTCTTATATACCCACACGTTGTAATTTATGTTGTTTGATACTATATGGATATACATACATTAATTGTGCTGTTATTTTTGAAAGTGGTATAACTCCGCTTTTTATAAAAATGAGTTAACTGTAATTTTAGTAAGATATAGACATCCTCTTTCCATATTTATAATCATACATTCAATTGAGTGTCGTTTTCTCATAAAAAAATGTTATTGCAAAACTTTTTTTTTTATATGAAATAAGTCCATTCCTAATTATTATAATTAAAACAACTTTCTTATTGCAATTATTATTGATTATTACAACTTGTAATCATAAATATATTCTTGTGTGCATCTACTCAGCGTACGCCAATAAAAAGAAGACGAAACAGAAAGTTTAAAGGATCAGCCAGAGATTGTAGTTATAAATACTTTTTTAATATGGAAAAAGAAAGCATTGCGGTATGTAAAAAGTTCTTTATAGAAACATTTGATATAACTATAGGCAGACTACATAGGGTTCTGAGAGCAACGGTAATAGGAAAACACGTGGAAAAATGAAAGGATCTTGCAGAAAGAGTGATGAGAAACTAGTAGATGCCATAAAAGATCATATAAAAGATTTTCCACACTATGAAAGACATTACACGCGTTCTAAAAATCCAAACAAAAAATACTTGAGTTCTGATTTGAACTTAAGAAAAATGTTTCTCAGAGAACATAAAGATACATGTCAAAAATGCGATTTCTAACAAAAAAAAGTAGCCTTTTAGAGGAACATAGCATACATTTAAGCAATGCGGAACTGGCTCGAAAAGTTTTAAACGAAGATCAAACCTTAGCACCAACGAACCAAAATAAATATTTCGCATTTTCCTTTGACCAACAAAAGGCGCTTCCATATCCCAAATTATCTGTTTCTGTTGCATACTATAAGCGAAATATGTATTTTCTTAATGAAAGTTCATTATTTTCATGATAACAGAATTCGAGTTAGAAAAGAAATAGCATCTTGCTGCCTGAAGTACATTCAGAACGTTACAACCCAAGATCACATTGATGTGGAAACCGAAATATTAAGCTCGCACTGATGTGGTTAAGGATTGTTCAATGAGCTGATAATAACATAAACGTTATTGATCACAAATTTTTATTGTCAGGTCATTCATTTCTTCCAAACGACAGATTTTGGAGTTGTGGAAACAGCATTAAAGAAAAAGGATCAGTTATATACTACTCAAGACTATTATAATGCTAATTAAGTCCATGATTTATATTAAGGAAAACTAATTATGAAATAATTTTGTGGGATTAAGTCGAGGTAGCTTGCGGCCGAGGCATTACAATTAATACTACATCGATACAATGTTATAGAACACATATTGAAGCGCCACTGCTGCATGCGATCTCGGATTAACTTGGAACGGGAAGTATGTTTTTTCGGAGTAAGCCGAGGCATTTCAACATGTATTGTTTAACATGGATATGCTTTTAATTGTAATGCCTCGGGCGCAAGCAACATCGGCTTAATCCAGGAAAATTACTACATATATCTTGTGGTATCAATACTGCCCTGATAAGAAAGAGCATTTACAGAAATTTACTTGTAATTGAGATTTTAACAGAGCAGAACTCAGAATTAAATGCTTTTCCCGATTTACTAAGCAAAAATGTCACATCTACTCCACATTCCCTAATTTTTGAACATCTTTTATAGTACCTGCAATTTTTTTATCATATGATTGCAGTCCAACATCCTGATACAACATAACCCATCCCACCAAACTCCTTAACATTAATTTCATCAGCATTTGTGGTGCTACGACGTGTTGGCAATGTTAATCGTTGAGCAAGTGTGAAAATGCCTGAAAATATCAAGAAAACACGATGTGTGTTTCAAAGTAGTCCATGCACATCAATCAGACTGACTTCCTTATGAAATTTAATGAGCGACATTGCCATTTAAAAGCGTTTCTGTTTCGCCCACAGTATTGTCAATACAATTGACAAACAAGAATTTGTTGTGAATGATGTTTTGGGTTGGCACTAAACCCGATAAAGTTTTAGAAAATGATGTCCAGATTTTGGAAAGATGTGATTCATGTAAGCCCATTGATCGAACTTCGACTTTGGGGCACAAAGAGGTCACTAGAATGGAAATCTCTTAATAATATTAAAGCAAAGTTTTTCTAAATAACCCCGAAAGCATTTCTCAGCTGAAAATAGCCATTCACGAAGTCATCGAAAGTATCAATGTCTTGATAATTCAGCGAGTTTTGCAAAACATCATAGCCATCATATCGAACATGTCATAAACTCCGAGTTTCCTATTTTATAACATAATTTCTTTATATAATCTCACATTTCTTTATTGAACATGTCTTTATACATGACCGTATTACACATTCCTATATAAAAAAGATGCTTCATTAAATGAGTTGCTCGCAAGTTTGTGTTTATATGGTATCCTAAAGATCTAAATGATTTTTCATTAGGCAACAACTTAAGGTAAATAGATCTTGCTAATCGCGATGCAAAGATTAATTCTCCAATATACCTAAATATGTAAAACTTGTAATTGTATCACTTTAACTCCATCGCCATTAAACAAAACTTCTACACCAAGAAAACAGGTCTATGAAATTGTCATTTAATCACGTTTGAGGAAATAGTTATTTATGCATCAAGATGTTAGAGCAATACGTTTCTTTAATGCGAACTATTTAAATGAATGGTCTTTCTCGCTTGGGCGAGATCATTTTGTTTTTTTAATTTTTTAATAAATGAAAATATGTAGTAATCAGATATTTCTAGACTTAACAACTTGTTTTGTTGTAGTCTTAAAATACTTCTGATAACAATTAGATTAAAAATAAAGTAGTCATTTTTTTAAAATATTATAATAAACTTAAGACGTATGTTTATCTCAAAACAATGGGTAATTATTTTATTTTTTTTGTCTTGCCTTTTTTGTTATAAATGACAAAAAAAAATCTTTCACTATATTGCAGAAATAGTAAGTAGGACCCACTATGTCGCGATTTCTACCGTCTACAATAGCAGCGATATCCGTCCCCACCATGGACGTGCACACACCTTGCAATGTTGTCGGGTTTACCAAAGCAGTTCTCTGCTACCTGTGCGCGTGATCAGGTGTTTCACTTCGAAAAAGACGCCGTTTAACGTGTTTGGTTTTTTATTTTTACCATCAGTTCGTCGTATTCCGACCCTCTGCAACATCAAAAATTTCATTGTGTCCGTTGCGTCACTGGCACCTTTTGTGTTTGTTCAGTGAGTTTTGCGAGTTGTGTACGTGGAGAAGTAACGTTATTATTATTATGTAAAAAAATTTCAATGCCTAATTTAAGAAAAAAAAAATTAATCGCACACTTAATAGTTTTAGTTTATTATCGAAGCAGATTGTTCTCTTCAGTTATGCGTCATACCTTATCAAAGTACAAACACAACGATCGCATTCTGCTGATTTTTGCAATTTTTTTGTTTATGTTAGATCAAAGTTTAACTTTAGAGTGAACTAAGCTAACTGTTAAACTTGTTCACCAAATACCGATGAGAGTTAATGCCTTATTCATTAAAATGAACAGTTAATCAATATAAACGTTATAACTACCGGGGTTGCAAACGTTTAATATATACAAATTTAATTGATTTGAATAAATTGCCGTTGATTGGAGCTCAAATTTGTCTCGCTTTTTCATTGGGAATATTGTTGCGAAAATGTTCCCAGTGCAATACAAAAAGTAAATAGCTTCTTCTATGCCATGCGAATCCAATAATAAAATTAACGCAATCCGTACATACCGAACAGTCGAATACTTTCTAAATGGCGGAGAAACGGCTCGGCATGGAATAATAGATCGTTTGCGACATAACGCCGCTGTGTATATTGTGGGAAATGTGCTGGGAAATTTTCGACTTTATTGTTTTGTAGTGGTAAACGTTTTGTAAGGCGATTTATTGCTATGCAAATAAAGAATAGATTTTTTTTGGTTTATTGAACTCGAAGTACTCTAACAAAAATTCTTAGTATGTATTCGAAATCATTAACGTATCTATTTAGTAATTAACAAAAAAAATGTCTAGACGATTCTCTTAAGGTCGTCATTAACCTTACCCTGGAGGGTAAATTATTCTAATTAAAACCAGCTCTCAGGTACTCCAATTAAGTGTAATTTATTTGGCGTCGGCTTTGTCATCTTTTCCGCAGATTGGGATTAACTAGACCTCGACGGTTACTTTTGTAATTCTTGTAATCATATTTAATGATACTCGCAACATTTTTATATATTTTCTCATCTCAAAACGTGAATACCTATTGGCTACTGCGCTCTAGAAAATCGGTGAACAGCGAAAAGCCGACAGCTACCAACAATTTTCTAACAATTCCGTTAATACGCTTATGCCTACGTAACCGTTAATAACAGGTCTGGTATATGCTGATGGAAATATGTTAAACATGCCTCGAGATAAACCCGACCACCATACCATTAAGTACTTCGTTCATGTTCACTTGCGCCAAGTAACCAAAAATGGAAGATTTTATTTTATCGTAACACTACCGTTTCAAACGGAAAAGCAATTTAATATCTCTCAAACACGTGTTACGTGTTACCACGCCATAAATAATAAATAAAATTTTTTAATAGGATTAACCTAAACGGGATAAAAATGAACAGTTATTAAAATTAACCAAACTACTCATTAGCGTCTTATCTTATTCGTGACGTGAATAAGCACCACAACGGCAACTCTATAAGTTGCACCTCTAAATAAGGTACCAAAGCCTGAGTGAGTTGCCAACTCAACCTTGAAATACCTTACAACATACACGTACGTTACGTACATACATGAAAATTGTATGATCCTCAATTCATGACGTTCATATAGACTTGCGTAGTACACCTTAATTGGGCATTGAAATTCCTAAGATAAAGGTCTATTTTTATGCTCCATTTTTAACATGCCTTTTTAACGTTTCATTTCTTACGATTTATAACAGGCAACGCGTTCACTTTAAGAATATAGCGTAGAAAAAATCGTTGCAATGTGAAAGGTGGTGAACTTTAAACCGATCGTGTACAAGAAAATGTTCGATAGTTGTCAATCAACGAATGCCGGTCCGAAATGTGCAGAAGTTGCGGAAAAGATTGTACAAATCTTCGGGTGGAGACACACCTATAACGTGGAGAAATTGCAAAGGAACGTTCCCGATAGAGACACAACTAGAATTTCTATCACTCGCCCCACCATTGAATATTTAAAAGCAGACGTATCTTCTTCAAAGGTAAGATAAGATGGTAAATTTCAACTCATAAAAAAATCTATAAAATCCTCTTCATGGCAGAGAAATTCGCGAGGTCAACAACACCAAAGAAATTTTTTTTAAATACGTTTCTTAATCATTTAAAAAAATTAAAAATACATCTTCATTTATAATCATATTTAATTTAAAATGACCGGAAAATGCCATCAACATCAAATAGATTCACAGATGTTCACATAACGCAAAAGAATAAATAAAGATGCGCGTTCTCAAGGCTTTGCTCACCAGACTATGACTCCTTCCTTCCATACTCTCTAATCGTTAAGATCCTGGGTTATCTACAACTCACATACTCATAAATATTCAGAAAACCAGATAAGGATCTCAACTACTGCGAGAACGGAGGTATGGACGAGGAATGTCAGAATCTGAAGTGTTTATATACACTACTGCGTAGTCTCGTAAGTTTTCGCAAAACACCTGATTCAATTCATTTCAAATCATTTCGATTCAGTTCGATTATAGTAGGTAAAAGACCTTGAAGAAAGTTTTCTTCTTGAGTAGAACGTGCCAACTGGTACTTTCACGAGACTCGCTCAATATTTTGATTACACCGCCTCCGGGAACGCTTTTAGTTTTTACGACCGAGCCCTGATAAATTCGCGGCCGACGACGTAGAGGGATTTTTAACGTTCTCCCGTTAAAATATGCCCCTATTGAGATAAAGAATGACATGGATCGCATTCCGATACGTCAACGAACACCAAAAGTGGATTAGCGAGGCATTTCAACTTGATGTGGACCATAATTTTTCAAGAAACTTGTTTTATACTGCACACATCTAACGTAAACGATTTCTTTTTTTAAGGGCCCGGACTCTTGGGTTTCCGTGCATAATCTCCAATCGCAAGGTGGTGGAATTTTGGATCCAGACGATCGTTTGAGTGATGTTGTGGACGATAGGGAACAAATTTTAGCTAGCTTTGAAGATGGAGATGGGGCACATCATCACGGGGGTGGTGATGGAGCCAGCGGAAGTAGTGTTGGAACTGGGAGTCCCGATATATTCCACGATGGGGATCATAAATACCCTCCATATCCAAGAACTGATATAGAAGTAACTGGTGAACAAATAGCTTCCGGAGGAAATGGTGCTCTTCAAGTTCGGAGAGGTAGTGAACCGGCGTTAAATCAACTTCCAGTTGGTCCACCTCCCTCTAGCGATCACACCAAACGGTGGAGTGCGGCTCCGTTAATTTTAGAACCTCCAAATGTAAGTTATAGTGGAGAATGGGTTGAAGATTCGCGGGAGGATGAAGAGGATCAAGGATTCAAACGAGTTGCTAGGGATGGAAGTAATAGATTATCCATGCAATTTTTGGGAGAAGGAATGGGGTATAAAATTGTTTAACAATTATAATTCTTAATTTGATGTATTTAATCTTAAAGATATAGATGGGCTGAAGCTGCAGAAAGAGCTGCCTCAGCAAGATCGCATACTTCGCTGCCTAGAGAAACCAAAAGAAAAGAACCGTTAGGTCAAGCAAATTCCACTAGTCCAGTTTTAAATGCTGATGAGAAGTACGTTGCTCAAAAAAATAATTTTTTATTTAATTAACATTTATTTAACATTTATTAGGAGTGAAGTGATTATTATAAGAAATGAACTGGGACCTTTAGGAATTCACGTAGTCCCTGATTACGATAAATCGGGTAAAGATCGCGGATTACTCGTTCAAGGAATCGAACCTGGTGGACGAATAGATAGAGATGGAAGATTAGCTGTTTATGACCGGATTATTGAAATTAACGGCCAAAATTTATTGAATATGCCATTTCAAAGGTAAATTATTCTCAATCTGAATGAATTAAAATTATTTTTTTTTATAATTTTAATTTTAGGGTGCAAGAATTATTTAAGTTATCTCTGACCTCAACAGAGTTGAGATTAAGGGTGATACGAAACAATAATTCCTCAGAAAACATTCGAAAACCTCCTCCACCTGTTTACCCAAGGTTTCCAGATGACAAAGAAAACGTGTTGGTTGAGTGCGAACAGAAACGTAAGCCTTACATAATTAAATTAATTAAATTTATTACAACAATGTGTAGGTTACATTCCAGAGACTACAAACACCAAAGTAGCAACTGTTTCGCCTACAAAGAAGCTTCCTGCTGTTCAAAGAAATTTAAAATCTTTGCTTCAAGCAAACACTAGAAAAATTGGTAGAAAAATTGTAATCGATTTAATTAAAGGTCCACATGGATTAGGTTTTAGTATAACAACGCGAGATAATCCCGCTGGTGGGAATTGTCCTATTTATATAAAAAATATTATTTCAAAGGTAATTTTACACATAAAAAAATGTTTATTGAAATCCAAATTAATTTATTTTTAAATAAATAGGGTGCAGCTATTGAAGACGGTCGATTAAAAATCGGCGATCGTTTATTAGAAGCAAACGGCGTCGAAATGACCGGAAAAAGTCAAGCGGAAGCTGTGGCAGTTTTAAGAAACGCACCAACAGGAAGTAAAGTAACAATCGTAGTATCAAGACAAGAAGACGTAACAGACATGAATTTACCCCGAATTATTGTAAGAACCATCATTTTTAATTAACGTTTGCTTTTGTAGTTGTCTAGTGTAAATGCAAAATGTAGAGTTAATTTTTCATTCACTATCATTTTTGTATTGTTGTCCCACAGGGTGTAGATGAGTGTCCTGAGAAAGAAGAGGAGGTTGGTGAGGGAAGAAGGGAAAGTAACACGCCCCCTACAATCCCTCCGTTGCCTCAGGGTCACATACAAAATCGCAACACCCCAGAGAAATCGGGGGTTGCCAAAATCATATCTCAATTTCAAGATAATGTGAATGTTAGTAGTGTTTTATTTTAGTGTTGCTTTGCACGTAGATTTTTTTTAATGTACAGGATATTTAATTAAGGTGGACCACTACTTAATTGTTTAAATCAGGACAAATCATGCTAAAAATATTGTTTACAAAACCACTTAATTTATTGATCAAAAAGTTTAACCTTTCAAACTAGAAATTAAAATTAAAATGAAATAAATAAGTTACAAAAGTTGAGATTATGCTGGTCCAAAATATACTCTCAAGATGACTCAAGAAGTGTCTGAGCAAAGTTCTTTCTGGCTATGTACTTTATTAACACATAATAATTGACATATACTGTTCTTCCATGGGCACTGATTATTATACGAAAAGCCAATGTTAAATGCAGCTTTGTTAAAAGGCTGCATTGTTATTGGGTATATGTAAAGAGAAGTACAGTACAAAAATACAGTAGGTCGGTCATACTAATGAGGGTGTTCATAGAAACGAGGTTGTAATTAAATAAATTAAGTTTTTTGAGCAATTTTGACCATAACTGATTTTCCTTGAATTGCTTTCACTTGGTGATGATTTCACTTATATTTATGGAATTTTGATTTGACCATTCTACAGCAACATTAAATGCTTTAATTGCATCGAAATGGCAAATTTTTTTTTTAGTTCAGTCATTTTCATCTTCACCTGAAGAAGACATTTCCACAACATCTGCCGCCTCATCCTTGTCTAAATCTTCCGCATCTACAACAGTGTAGCCACCCTAAAATGTGCAGTTTATGATTTTGCTATCGAGTTCTAAAACCACTTATGCATTAACTTAGTTGAGCTACTTCCTGTAGTAAATTTATTGTATCCCTAATAGCATCAAGAACCAAAGTTTTTCCACATCTTAATTTTTTCCTTAATATACTTAGCGGAATGTTATCTTCGTCTGCATCTTTATTATGTTGTTTAAAATCTGAGAGGATGTTTCTTACTGAGTGCTGCAGCTATTCCTTCTTCCGTTGATACAACAGAACTGAGCAAACTGTTTCTACATATAGTACAGTTTGGCGAGCCTTAAAATATTTTAATCCATGGGTTGTATTAAAGACGTAACATTAGGAGNAAGTACAGTACAAAAATACAGTGGGTCGGTCATACTAATGAGGGTGTTCATAGAAACTTGGTTGTAATTAAATAAATTAAGCTTTTTGAGCAATTTTGACCATAACTGATTTTCCTTGAATTGCTTTCACTTGGTGATGATTTCACTTATATTTATGGAATTTTGATTTGACCATGCTACAGCAACATTAAATGCTTTAATTGCATCGAAATGGCAATTTTTTTCCAATTCAGTCATTTTCATCTTCATCTGAAGAAAAAACATTTCCATAATATCTGCTGCCTTAGCCTTGTCCAAATCTTCCGCATCTGCAGCAGTGTAGCCACCCTAAAATGTGCAGTTTATGATTTTGCTATCGACTTCTAAAACTACTTATGCATTAACTTACTTGAGCTAGTTTCTGTAGTAAATTTATTGTATCCCTAATAGCATCAAGGACCAAAGTTTATTCACATCTTAATTTTTCCCTTAATATACTTAGCGGAATGTTATCTTCGTCTGCATCTTCATTATGTTGTTTAAAAAAATACAAATAAGTTACAAAAGTTGAGATTATGCTGGTCAAAAATATACTCTCAAGGTGTTCAAGAAGTGTCTGAGCAAAGTTTTGAAAGTTCTTTCTAGCTATATACTTTATTAACACAATAATTGACATATACTGTTCTTCCATGGGCACTGATTATTATATGAAAAGCCAATGCCAAATGTTAAATGCAGCTTTGTTAAAAGGCTACACTGTTATTGGGTATATGTAAAGAGAAGTACAGTACAAAAATACAGTGGGTCGGTCATACTAATGAGGGTGTTCATAGAAACTTGGTTGTAATTAAATAAATTAAGCTTTTTGAGCAATTTTGACCATAACTGATTTTCCTTGAATTGCTTTCACTTGGTGATGATTTCACTTATATTTATGGAATTTTGATTTGACCATTAAGCAACATTAAATGCTTTAATTGCATCGAAATGGCAAATTTTTTTTTCAGTTCAGTCATTTTCATCTTCATCTGAAGAAGACATTTCCACAACATCTGCCACCTCATCCTTGTCTAAATCTTCCGCATCTGCAGCAGTGTAGCCACCCTAAAATGTGCAGTATATGATTTTGCTATCGACTTCTAAAACCACTTATGCATTAACTTACTTGAGCTACTTTCTGTAGTAAATTTATTGTATCCCTAATAGCATCAAGGACCAAAGTTTTTTCACATCTTAATTTTTCCCTTAATATACTTAGCGGAATGTTATTTTCGTCTGCATCTTCATTATGTTGATTAAAATCTGAGAGGATGTTTCTTACTGAGTGCTGCAGCTATTCCTTCTTCCGTTGATACAACAGAACTGAGCAAACTGTTTCTACATATAGTACAGTTTGGCGAGCCTTAAAATATTTTAATCCATGGGTTGTATTAAAGACGTAACATTAGGAGATAAGAATTTTACAAAGATCATCCCATCTTTAGTCTTCAGTTCTGTTGCTGGTGGATGGGACGGCGCGTTATCCACAAGAAGAATTGCTTTCTGAGGTAACTCCTGAGCATGCAGAAAACATCTCACCTACGAATTGTGTAATATAATTTTGAAATATAATCTTCAGGTACAAAATGTTGAAAAAACCATTCCTTAAAGAGTTCCCCGGTCATCCACGCCTTCTTAGTACTTTTGTACAGCAATGGGTTGTTAACATTCCTAAAACGGTTTGGATTTTTTGATTTCACTATCACAACACAAAGAAACCTGAAACCAGCATTGAACATATGTAAGCCTGAAGCATTTACACAACGCATAAACGTCAGTCGTTGCTTCGAAATTTTTAATCTAGGAGCAGTTTTTTCTGCTAATGAGACATAAGTTTTGTCAGGCAATAAGGGCCAATACAATCCTGTATCATCAGCATTATAAATCTGATGCTGCTTTAGGTCATGCTCTTGAATCATCCGCTTTAGGTCACTGGCCACGAAAGTATCGATATTCAATTGTTTTGATAATGACAATGCTTTTAATTTCAGCATATTTCCCGAAATTCATGAATTCTTTTCCCTTTCTTTAAGAAACCATTTGTACAATTTCTCTTCTAAAAGTGGAAATGGTTTTCAAGGTGCACTTTTTTGATGGTTTTAGCGTATGAGGTACCATATCGACAATAAGTTTTTCATTTTTTTTATACCAAAAATTGTTGATTTTGAACTCCGTATTTTTTAGATAACGTCGTAAATGACATTCCTCTTTTACCTTCTTTGATTATATTAGCTTTTTCTCTTAAACTCAAAAATTATTTTAATTTCCCCATCTTGTTCCTTTGGGACAAGTTCCTTTGTTACACACGATATGTTGAATGTGCTTCAAAGTACAAAATAAGGGATTTCCCCGAAGTAAAAACCCTGAGAGAAAAGCACAATGCCCTTGTTCGCGCCATCGAAGGTCCACGCTTTTCACACTACGAGTATACGGCGTTTAATGTAAATAATTTCGTGTTCACACCATCGTCAGATTCTCATTACTCATTACCGAATACTCGCATCATCGCGAGAACATAAAAAAACGTCCAAAACTCAATTAATAATTACCTTCAATGCGTTTATTCTTTCTCGCGCTTCTCAGGCAATTTGGTTTTTAACAATGATAGCAATAGGCCTGTTTTGGTTCAAGAGTTATGTAGTTACGAATAGTTCTAAATCTTTCTGCGCACACATATTGCAAATTAAATAAATACGCAAAAAGGTTCAGAACTATTCGGAGCTATAGAACTCTTGAACCAAAACAGGCTTAATATGTATTGTCATAAATGTTTATGACTTTCTGAACTATCTGATTCTATTGTAGTAATATATTTCGATTTATCTTAGGATATCTGCCTTTAAGTCTCTAAAAGAGACTGCGCTAAAGTTCTATTTTAATCCAAACAAGTAGAGCAGTGTTTTTCAACCATTTTTGTTTAGTGGCATGCTTGAACTTTTTTTGATAATTGCTCATATCATAACGGTTTCAATAATTATATGTGATTTCACGTTCTTATCTTCTGTATGGTCTTAAATACTCAATTTTCTCATAATTCATCAAATTATCATCTATCTTACCACATTCTTTAGCCATATCTTTAGGCAACAAATCCTTAGGTAATTTTGCTGGTTTTTGTATTACTCTACTTGAACAAAACTGTAAAACATTTACTATTACTTAGTACTCCACCATTCACAGGAATTAGTATCTCGTTTAGGTTTTGGACATTGCAGATAATAATCAAGTTGAACCCCAATAGGACTTTTTTCATTGAATATAACGTTATTTATATCTGGTTTGTCATTAGCAACCTCATTGAAACAATCCTAATACGATATATAAAATGTCTTGTTGCAGTTTCGTCTAGTTTTCTTCTCTTCGCTTGTAATTCATCATCACGTTCATTTTACTAACAGAACTGTCGCCGATTAAGTTTTAAAAATTCGTATAAAATCCATTTCTTGGGATATGAGTATGAAAATGTCCCAAAGTGTTAATAAAAGTGTTCTCTTTTCAATGAACAAACACGTTTTGGAAAATAACTTTTAGTTTTTGAGAAAACAATATTTAAAGTTTTGATAAAATTTTCGATGTTGCAATTTTCATCGATAATTTTCAAAATTCGCTATAAAATTCATTTCTTGAAGGATCCTTGTAGAAATAGCACCAATTATTAATTAAAGTATCCTCTTTTAGATGCAAAAAGCCGTTTTGAAAAATCACTTTCAGTTCTTGAGAAATAAATTTTTGAAATAATCGATAATTTTTTCGAATTTTGTAATTTTCGCCGATTAAGTTTTAAAAATTCGTACAAAATCTAGTTCATGGAATATGAGTATGAAAATTTCCCAAAGTGTTAATAAAAGTGTCTTCTTTCCAATGAACCAACCCATTTTGAAAAATATCTTTTAGTTTTTGAGAAACCAATATTTGAAGTTTTGATAAAAGTTTCGATGTTGCAATTTTCATCGATAACTTTCAAAATTCGCTATAAAATTAATTTCTTGAAGGATCCTTGTGGAAATACCTATCACCATCGTTAGTTAAATCAGCATCAAAAAAGTTTATCTTGGATCCAAATAAGTTGACACGTCTTATTAGCTTTCTTATTAATTTCATTTTTATTCAGAAATGCACCAGAAATTATAACCATAATGGCCGCATAGATATGCCGTATAACCGGATATCCGGTATTTTCAAAATCACTATCCCTTTCATCACTAATACTTAGTAATACTACTTATTACAAGGAATTATAACTTATAATTTACACATGATCGTGTTTTACTCAAAAAGTCTGATTTTAATACAATAATTAGGAGGTTTTATTGCAACCTTTTGGATTCATGATCAAACTATGCACTCGCACTTTACTTCATAAGAGTTAATTTCATTTTTCTTTTTTTTCTAATGTCTTTACCACGATTATTTTGTATAAATATGCTTGAGGGTTATAATCTATTTCCAATATCATTCCACTAGTCCATGGTTTAGTAATGGATATAATAGATAAGGTACCAACTTTACTCAGATATCCTGTACATAAAAAATCATTTTATTTAATACTAACAAAACGTTATCCAATTTTAGCCGCCAGAGAAAATGGACGAAAGTTCGCAATTTCCTTGGAAACACAAAGAAATTTTAACTTTCAACATTCCCGTTCATGATTCTGAAAAAGCTGGATTAGGAATAAGTGTGAAAGGAAAAACAAGCGGCTCCCAAGATTTAGGTATTTTTATTAAAAGTGTCATTAATGGTGGAGCCGCGTCTAGGGATAAAAGACTGAGGACAAACGATCAATTGCTTAACGTAAATGGAGTTTCTTTGTTGCAACAAACTAACAGCGATGCAATGGAAACTTTACGAAAAGCGATGTGTCATACGGAAGGACCCGTTCCTGGTAATATTACTTTAACTATAGCTAGAAGAGCTTCATCACCTGGACCTAATCGCAATACAAATCATCCATCAAGCGAAAATTTACAATCGCACGAAAGCGATCCTTCATTAACTGATCATTCTAATGCGAGTTCAGGTTCGACTGGTACGGTTATTTTTAATCCTAATAAATCACCTCCAGGGAAACAACATCAAATTATTCAACCGCTTAGTCCTTTGCATACTTGGAACCCCGTTTTGGAGAGATTAACTGGAAATAAAAACCAACAACAACAACAACAACTTAGAAATGAAAGTTATTATAGGGCAACACATGATACATGGAATGCAACTATGTTTAATGATCATCTTTCACCCAACATTACAACTACTTCGCTTAGTTTACCGAATTCTGAACCGATTTTAATTGAAGATGAATATGGAACTAGGGTTTTACCTCATCAAATATCAAGGTAATAATTAATTTTATCACAATCACCTTATAATTGAAGTTTTATTCATATTTATTAACTGTATAAAGTACCACTTTATCCACTAGTGGAATAATGAAAAATACAATCTTAAATCAATCCCTGGACTTTGCAGGCAATAATTGGACAGTTGCTTCTTCAGGTTCCTCAGGAATTATCTTGGGAACATAACTTTCTTACACATTCTTACACAATAAATAACTATTAATCTAAAATTTTGTTCTATTAAATTATTTTTTTATTTAGAACAAAAATTACATTACCCACTACAAGCACAACAACTAACATTGAAAGCCGAAATGAACATGAACCTGATGGAAAAGCTAGTTTATCTGGATCAACTTGCGATAAAAGTACTGAATCTTCATCGCAAGTAGCTTGTACTGATGCAACTTATGCGAGTCAATTATCGTTAGAAAATCCGGCTGGTTTTTCAAGAGACGCTTTTGGTAGGCAAAGCATGTCAGAGAAAAGACACGCAACTTTAGATGCTAAAAACACCGATACTTATCAAAGAAGTAAGAAGATGCGGGAAGAAAGGGACAAAAATAAAGGACATGAAAGTACGTATACTTTTTAAATTATTTAAAAACAATCATTAAAAACTCATTTCAAAAAAAAATCACGATATTTGTAATATAACATTCATCTAAATGTTAAATCATTTGTCCTTTAACAGCAAATTTAGTAAGAGTCGGATCCGTGGAATCTGTAATAAGCGTCAACAGATCACATGAACACCCCGAATGTAAGCATGTTCTAAGCGTTTTAAACGCCAAATTGTTTTTTTTTTAGTTTTTGGTGGAGTTTATTAACACTATTAGTTAGAGTCTAACACTTTTCCTTGAATGCCAAAGGATGCACTTTTAATTTATATCATAATGAATCAATTTTGTAATTCATGTCTTAATTAATTTATTCCTAAATTAATAGACGCTGATAAATTGGGACAATTAGGCCCATCACTTGGAATGAAAAAATCATCAAGTTTAGAATCGTTACAAACGATGGTTCAAGAAATTCAAATGAAAGAAGAAGGAGATCCAGCTTATAGCTTTAGAGGTCCTAATGGTGCTTTAAAAGTTCTTAGAGGTCGTGGATGTGAAGAAAGGTTCAGAGCCGCCGTTACAGTTGATCCAAATCATCGTAGTGAAATATGTAAGATTTTTATTTTAATAAAATGATTTTTATTTATGTAATTATTGTGTATGTAGCCGCGAAAAAACATTGGTTAGTTGATCCACCGGTTGAAGAACGTGAAATCGATGGTTTTACTAACGTAAGAGGAGGTCCAAGACAATCTTCGTTAAACGCTGCTCTCGACGCAAAACATAAAGCGGTGAAAAAGAAGCCGGGTATTCTGAAAGGAATTGGTTCGATGTTTCGTTTTGGAAAACATCGAAAAATGGAACCGGAAGTTCCCCAGCATTATCATCAAACTGGGGAATTTGAGGAGGCGCAAAAATCCACGGAGCAATTAAACGAATCTTCGAATTCCACACAACATTCGCAAGGGAGTGATAGTAAAAGTCAAAATGAGAGAGTTGAACGTGTTGAACCTTTATATCAAAAACATGGGTTTGTTCATCATCATGCAGAACAAGTACAGGTAATTTCAATTTTAATTAAATAATTAAAGTTTATTATTAGTTTATTTAAAAGAATTTAGTTTATTTGAATNTTCGCTTAGTTTACCGAATTCTGAACCGATTTTAATTGAAGATGAATATGGAACTAGGGTTTTACCTCATCAAATATCAAGGTAATAATTAATTTTATCCACAATCACCTTATAATTGAAGTTTTATTCATATTTATGAACTGTATAAAGTACCACTTTATCCACTAGTGGAATAATGGAAAATACAATCTTAAATCAGTCACATCCTATTTATTATTTATATTAACATTTATATTAATAGACATTTCATTCTTTGATTTGTCATATTTTACTTCCTCTCCATTAATAACCAGCTTGTAATTCAACACTTCCCAATGTTTTTTCAGTTAATTGCAAGGATTTTTGAGCAAATTTTTAATGATTTTTGCAATTCATTTAGATAACATCAGATGAAATTTTGGCGATTTTGATTCTAAATGAGTGTGATTGTGGATAAAACGTTGTATTGCATGCGTGTTTTAGATACATTTTATTGAGATGATTTTACTGTCTAAAAAACTTACACAATAAATAACTATTATCCACAATCACCTTATAATTGAAGTTTTATCCACACTTATGAATCGTATAAAGTACCACTTTACCCACTAGTGGAATAATGAAAAATACAATCCTAAATCCCTGGACTTTGCAGGCAATAATTGGACAGTTGCTTCTTCACTTTCTTACACATTCTTACACAATAAATAACTATTAATCTAAAATTTTGTTCTATTAAATTATTTTTTTATTTAGAACAAAAATTACATTACCCACTACAAGCACAACAACTAACATTGAAAGCCGAAATGAACATGAACCTGATGGAAAAGCTAGTTTATCTGGATCAACTTGCGATAAAAGTACTGAATCTTCATCGNAGTAAAAGTCAAAATGAGAGAGTTGAACGAGTTGAACCTTTATATCAAAAACATGGGTTTGTTCATCATCATGCAGAACAAGTACAGGTAATTTCAACTTTAATTAAAACAGTTTATTTAAAAAAAATTAATATCATCTATTAAATCATCTACATTATACTTAAAAGGTTTGTGGCATTGAAATGCTACTTGTTTATTTATTTTCTTCTCAAATCAGCTGAACACCACACCTGTAACAACTCAAGGTCGCTCTCCTAAAGGTGTTGATTAATTTCTTTTAGTAAAATCTAATTCCAACATCAAAATCGTTTACAATAGACATGCACAAAAAAACGAATATCGTTTTGGTGATTACAACAATTACGGGAATAAATTAAATTTTCTTCCTAATTTAGCACTTTTGATTAGTTTAATTGTATCACTTTTGTTATACAGGTTGATTTATCAAACTTTGACATATGATATTTAATCCAATTACCAAAAAAAAACTGTTAATGAACATATGTCCTATTTCAATTATTTACGAAATTATAACACTTTAAAGTTTAAAAATTTAAACATATAATTAACTGCTACATTTTTTTAAAACACATAAATATTACAAATATTGTTCAAAATAGCCTTCTTCTGCTAAAATACATGCTTCACAACGACAAATTAAAGAGTTCTTCAGGCGAATTAAAATGTCTTAAAATGAATCAAATGAAAAAGTGTATTGTTCAAAAAACATCTGTAATTTACAGCGTTCAAACGTCCATTAAATATGCAAACCTAGTAAATTGTTGTTAAATGTTCCACCCCAAACGTTGATGACATATATTGATATTTTTGATATTCCATTGCAAAAACCATACACGAAAATTATATCAGCATACTCTTCAGTGCTATAAGCGTACATTTTGAGTTTCTTCTTGTATGTAATAATTAAACCTTACAGCAAACAACATATTACAATGACAACTTTGTTTTTGTTGAATGTTTGATTTTACTGACCATTAATAAATTCGCTGCAGAAAACTTTAAAGTGTTATAATTTCGTAAATAATTGAAATAGGACATAATATGTTCATTAGCATTTTTATTTGGTAATTGGATTAGCTATTACTAGTCAAAATTTGATGGTGAGCTAATAAATCACCTTGTATACTGAGAAGGAACAATTTAAGAAACTGCAAAATTATGGCTAAAATATAGATGAGTAAAAAATTGTGATATATTCGCAAAATAGATTATGCTTGAATTATAGCAAGTAGTTCTTTATTTAGTGTAGAGTCCATTTTTATGAGATTGCTGTAAAAGTGGAAGCGAGCTACAATTATTGAGTCAACTAGACTATAGAGTTACAATGCGCTCATAAAAGACTCTTTCATGACTAATACTTGCTCCGTTAATTCCATCTCCAGCTACATACCATATCCTTCTGGGGTCAAACTACGCCCAGAGAGGTTTTGACAATGTCTCGTTGTATTTCTGCTTAGATAAAAAACTATCATGATAACACATACCTGAGGGCAAGTCTAGTTTTCACTCATTAACAGTCTATAGCATATCTTTAACATCTATAGGGGGACTAGTTTTTTATTATGTTATGTCAGTTTAAGAAATGAGTTGTGACTATGTTGGATGATCAATTGATTGGATGGCCACACAGCTGTGTCTCGTCAGTCCACATAGGCTTAATTATGGACTGATAAAGTAGTCGCTTGATGGCAATCAATACATTTGTTTACTTTTGAGTAGGTAAACCTAACCTGCTCAGCTTTCTGTCTAACACGATGCTTTCAGTTCAGTCTGTCATAAGTGGACATCCAGATATTTTATTGATTCTGCTTGAGAAATGGAACATTCTCCAAGAGATATAATTAGGTTGGTATTTATTAGTCGCAACGCAAAATTGACTTGAACCAATTTCAAGCTGCTAAGCTATATTTTCAATCCCTAGTCCTTTTATGAATTTTGTCAATTGCTATATGAAGTTTTTCCATAGCTTTTATGTGAGTTGAGTTTTTTACTATAATAAATACGTCATCATCGAATGTCCCAAGTACAAGATCTTTTGAAATTGGACTATGGTATACAGTAGATGAAGGAGTAGCCCTAAGACACTGCCTTGTGGAACTTCACCCAAGATCGGTTTGAATGTTGAGTATGCGTCATGTGGCACTAAATTTTCGTTCAGAATGATATGAATCCAGTAGTGACAGTAGTTCTTAAGCAACTTTTTGTTTAACTTAATCAAACTAAAGCATATATTGTCTGCTTAAACCGAGGTTGGTTGTAGTCGAGGCGCTACAGTGAGTTAACAATTTTTGTGTTGATATGATATTAATTGTAGAGCCTCGCATCTGCAAGTGACCTCGGTTAATATTAGGATAGAGTCCATCTTCACCTCTTTATTTCTTTCATCTTATTTTTACTCGGGTGTCTACTTCGTATTCGAATTCTTCTTCGGGCGTAAAGGACTGCGTATTCGTTGTTGTTTGGATAGTTGCCTATGTATTGTTTTGCTGATTATTTTGCAATTAAATCGCTTATTACTGAAACGACTTAAGTCACTTTTTATAACCTTTCAGGAAACGAAAAAAATATTTCATGTGAAAACTGTAATTTTTTAGAAAATAATAACGCAAAATAACGATCTTAAATTTGTTTTAATAAACTCAAATTTTTTTGTCAAAAAAATTGTTTCTCAAATAAATAAGTACATTTATGAATTCAAAATTTTATTTCACACGAAAGCAGAAGACATTAACATTAGGCACAGCTACTTAGTTTTGGTCTGTTTGGACTCCTTAACCTTGGTATTTTCAAGAATTTCTTCGTAAAATTGTTTATAATCGTCTTCTACCTATTGAAGCAATGTTTAGATATTTTAAGTTTCGTTTCTAAGTTTGGTAAGTTATCATTGTAAGCTTTTTGTTTTGGCAATTGTATCTGGATATTCTTTGCTCTTTTGGGATGAGTCGGCTTAAAGGTGTTCCAAATGAATCTATTAATGTATTCACTGATCTTAACAACACCAGCATTTGTTGCTTCATGAACCAAGTGGTGAAATTTTGACACTAAAAATGGAATTCTTTCATTTCTAGAATGTTTTCAGTTTCATCAGAAGCACATGTAGCGTTGTATGTAGTATTTTAGCCACCAGTTTTTATAATCTATGATATCTTCTGTTGCAACTTCCTTTACAATAAAAGCGTTTTTGGCACTAGAAGTTATAATAAGTTCAGATGAATGTATGGACATTATAAACTCACTCTAAATCATTCTAAAATCTCTGTCACAGGGCAAAGAAGAATGTCGTCGCAAGACTGCTGCACCTTTTGAAACCTTCTCTCATCACTTACAGTTAAGGCCATGCATGCTCTTATTATGCAGTGATTCTTTTTTTGCTATATTACTTTTTTTTCTATATACTCCATTATGAATGTTATGACTTCATTAGGGCATTTTGCAGCTACACCCTCATGGTAACTATAAAAAAAAGATTTGTTTGTCTTTAAGTCGTGAATGCAGAACACACACTTAATTGAGATAGGTAAAAGAAATCTTATACATGGATCTGTGGCAGTTGTAGATTCGGTATGTAATCAAATGCAATAGCTGCAAGATCTCGTCGTTCTTTACATTCTTCTGAAGTCGTTTTTAAAGCATTATAGAACTCGTGTTTCATGAATGAGCTTTCCAGAAACAGCGGCTCTTTTTACATTATCTCCTAGAGATTGACTTTTGATTTTTGAAGGCTAATTGACACAACTTAATGTAGTAGTAACCGTATTTAATTTTTGTGCCTGGAAATTTTTTAAGAAACAACTCGTACATTGTTTTTACATTAAGCCGTGCATCTAGATACTTGAACTCCTTTCACTTTCTTCAATGGCATTTCCTTTAATATTTGTACCTCGTTTATCACAAGAAACTTCATCATTCACAAGTAAACGCTTAATTCTTTTAACTTGTTCCAAGCTAATACTTGCAAATGCTCCTTGACAAACCTTTATTCTTTTTCTTTGATATTAACAAAACGTAGAAACAATCAATCCCATTTCCCTTACGATTTTGTCTTTTGGCTACAATTATAGAAGTGCAGTTGTAGCATCTCATCGTCTTGAAATTCAGATTCATTTGCGATGTGTGGTAATTATCATTAATAACACATAATAGTATATTATATCATAAAAAGGAAGAAACTTTTAACCTAACTAATAATTTTGTTAAATATTTCAGGTAATTCCTGAAGGTTCTGCCGTCCCATCTGGAAGATATAGCAACCAATCTACAGATCAAAATCAAAATCGTTCGAAAGGACATCACCACCACCATCATCATCATCGTCAAGGATCGAGACATGGTTACTATTCTTCAGATGAAAGGGAGAATCACTACGAGCAGGTATACCGAAGAGTACGTTTTATTTATCTTCTAAACAATTTCGATTGTTTTAATTAAATTTGATTTTACAGAGAAATGAACCCAATTTCAACGAATATGGCAGACCAGGAAGTAGATCAGGAATAACGGAATCCTCAGTACCTTTCACGCATTACGTTAATTACAATGAGCTACAAAGCAGGATAAGGTAAATCTTTTAATTTTATTGCGAAAGTTAATTTTGGATTTGGGTCACCAAAAATTTAAAGAGAATTTAAAATTTTTTAAATTTACTTCTCTGCACAACTCGAAATAAAATAAAAATCATTTTATGTTTACTAACTCGTGATTGTTTCCGTTTTTTTTTAACGAATTTTAATGATGTTTGTTATGGTTTTGTCCGATTAGCCGAAAAGAACAGTTATCTGAAAGTCAAATTGTGCAGATGCGCCTTCAGGTGCAACAGCAGAGGTTAAAGGTGGAGGAAGAAAGGTAACGCACCCGATATTTCATATCTTTTGGTTGCACTCTGTTATTGTTTCTTCTTTTTTTGATTGCTACTAGTTGTTTTAACATTGATTTGACAAATTTGGTGGTAAAAAAGATTTATACATTAAATTCGTCGAATTAAATTATGCATGTTTGTTTCGTTTTTGTGTATGTTTAATAAAAAAATTAATCAAATTGTTTTATACCAGCTAAATATAATTTTTTTATTGGGCATATATATTTTATTTTCATTAGGTGTGTGGTTCTATCTTTCCATTCTTCATATCTTTTCCTCTTTAGTGTTTTGATTTCTTTCTTTCGTTGTAATCATTATTTTTTGAAAGTAATTTTATTATACATAGATATGTAGGTTGAGATAATTAGGGTTTTAATTTAAGCCACATCTTAACTGCTTATTTTTTTATAGTCGGAAACAACATCAATATCATTCGCAAAGACAACCAAGGGATAATCAACTAAGACCTATATCGAATTTTTACGAATACGAGAGTATTCAAACGGTGCTAAATTCTCGAACTAGGACAACAGCGGCTCCGAATCAAGCCGCTTATCATGCCCCACCTCCTTACCAAGACACGAATTCGAATAATTCATTGCCGCGACAACAACCCGTGCAAGGTAGAAACGTAACGAGGCAGCAATATCAAAATAACCACCAACATCGGGGACCCTTTGTAACGCAAGTTACTATTGGGGAACATCAACAAAACGGAACTAAAGTATAATATAATAAGGCTTAATTATTTAATACTGTGTAATTGAAATCGTAATAATATACGTCCTTTTTTTACTTAATTATTTTTATTAATTGTATTTTTTAGGTGATTTATACGCGAATGAAATTTGTAAATGTATATAATAGAATTAATTTTTAAAATATTTTATATTATTTGTAAATAGGAAAAAAATTAATTGAATAAAATTTTATATTATATTTTTCAATAACTTGCTGTTTTATTTTATTTATTTACATCTGAAGGCTGCAACAGGACCAAGTCCCACAAGTATTACCTCACTAAATAAAACACCGTTATTGCTAATTACCAGTGATGGAACAGATAGTGATTTTGCGAAAAACCGGATTTTTCAAAACGTGTTGGTTCATTGGAATGAGGACACTCTTATTAATACTTTGGGAAATTTTCATACTCATTCCAAGAAATGGATTTTATACGAATTTTTAAAACGTAATCGGCGGAAATTGCAAAATTCGAAGAAATTGTCGATTATTTCAAAAATTTATTTCTCAAGAACTAAAAGTGATATTTCAAAACGGCTTTTTGCATTAAAAAAATGATACTTTAATTAATAATTGGTGATATTTCCACAAGGATCCTTCAAGAAATTAATTTTATAGCAAATTTTGAAAGTTATCGATGAAAATTGCAACATCGAACATTTTATCAAAACTTCAAATATTGTTTTCTCAAAAACTAAAAGTTATTTTTCAAAACGGGTTGGTTCATTGGAAAGAGGACACTTTTATTAACACTTTGGGAAATTTTCATACTCATATTCCAAGAAATGGATTTTATACGAATTTTTAAAACTTAATCGGCGAAAATTGCAAAATTCGAAAAAATTGTCGATTATTTCAAAAATTTATTTCTCAAAAACTAAAAGTGATTTTTCAAAACGGCTTTTTGCATTAAAAAGAGAATACTTTAATTAATAATTGGTGATATTTCCACAAGGATCCTTCAAGAAATGCATTTTATAACGAATTTTGAAGGTTATCGATGAAAATTGCAACATCGAAAATTTTATGAAAACTTCAAATATTGTTTTCTCAAAAACTAAATTACTTTTCAAAACGGGTTGGTTCATTGGAAAGATGACACTTTTATTAATACTTTGGGAAATTTTCATACTCATATTCCAAGAAATGGATTTTATACGAATTTTTAAAACTTAATCGGCGAAAATTGCAAAATTTGAAAAAATTTTCGATCATTTCAAAAATTTATTTCTTAAAAACGGCAAGGTATTCGGCCGAATTTTAAAAAAGGCCGGATACCGGACAGTTGCCGGATATCCGTTCCAACACTACTAATTACTAATTCTTACCAATAATAAAAATTATTACATAAAAATAAAAATGCTATATACATGCATTAAATAAAAGGGGCTTTAACGTTTGTCCTTTTATTATTTGTTTTTCGTTTGTCTTATTTTTATAAATACATTCATTAACAACAACGTTATTCCACTGCTAACACACGCACATCCACACTACGTCTTTTCCGTTCTTGGCTCTCAACTTTTTCTTCTTTTATCGATCGGTACTGTTCTTATGACTTCAAAATATTCAATAGGTGTTGTTACATTCGGCTTCGCTAAATGATATCTATCATTTCCAAGAACGGTGTTTCCTAGATACAGAACCTTTATAAGATGGCTTCATCTATTTAAGTTGCTCCGTAGCCGCCATCTTTCGTCTAATCAATACTAGATCTCCCTCTTGGCATTTTCGAGGTTTTTGGTACTTCTTGTCACTTCTCTCTTTTTGTGTTCGTTGTACCCTTTCGATATTTCCTATCGCTTGATCGCATAAATCGTTTAATTTATCAATATCTGGCACGTTTTAGTCTTCTTCGAGGGCCATTATGACGCGGTTTTCTAGAATGTTCCGTGGCAGAAACCCAAACAATAGTTCGTGAGGTGTCTTCTGAGTAGTTCTGTTCCTCATGTTGTTTAAAGCGAACTGGATTTCTTTCATGATGCATCTTTCTACTTGTCTGTTGGTTCTCGTGGTTGCGGTTGCATTGATATGTTGGATATCAGTTTCTTTGCAGAAATTCTCAAAATCGCACGACGTATAAGCAGTTCCTCTACCTGTTATAAGTCTTGTTGGACTACCAAAGATTCCAGTAATTTCCTTCATAATTTTTATCTCTTCGTATTTCTCACAGCTCGGATAATAATATATTTTGTGTAATCCCTAATAATCATTTTCGGTACAACCCATTCATTTAGATTTTGTAGTCATGATGAATCTGTCTTTCGTTGTCATTTATATCCTTCTCCAACATAGCTTTCATTTTCTGGTCATCATTTAGTACATCAATTTGTACTATTAATACGTTCAAGCTTGCTATCTTAGCGTCTTCTGATTCTTCATTTGGATTCCTACTCGATGCATTTAAAGTCGTATTCTTGGAGTTTTAACACCCATCGTGTTATTCTCGGCATCGTCTTTCTTTCCATGAAGGTCTTTAAAGAATTACCACTGCTTACTACTTTGAATTCTCGACCAAGTACAGGATGGGCAAATTTGGGTGTTATTATAGGCTATCTCAGAAACTATAAGAGATACGAAAAAAGTAGGTGTCATGTCCCGGTCTCTTTTTTCGAGACTAATCCAAACCCGCAAACATCAAACCTCTATCTTCTTTTGTTTTTAAGTTATAGCCAAAAAGTCAAATTTTCGTGATTTCAAAAAATGCTCATATTTCGTTTATTTTTGAAATTAGAGAAATGGGGTTGATACGTTCTTAAGACACTTTTTTAAGTAGAATATACTGCCGTTGAAAAATTTTAAAAATATTTGATGATTTTTGAGATACAACACAAAGTTGTATTTTTTTAAATACAAACTATACTTGATTATGATGTTAATGAAAAGAGCATATTTTTAGCTTTCCAATGATGTATCGCATGTATGGTGTATTTGCGGAAAATAAGCGTTCTTTTTGGCTATAACTTAAAAACAAAAGAAGATAGAGGTTTGATGTTTGCGGGATTGGATTAGTCTCGAAAAAAGAGACCGGGACATGGCACCTACTTTTTTCGTATCTCTTATAGTTTCAAAGATAGCCCAAATTTGCCCACCCTGTACATAAGTTCGAAATCTTTCTAAAGTCTCTGTAATGGCTACAATTTCCAGTTCATAGACTCTCCAATTCCGTTGTTTGTCGACTGAAATAGGTTTCAGTCGGCTATAAAATTGGTTTCAACAAACTGTTTGGTTCATTTTCCGTCTTTCGAAGTAGTATTCCAGGTATTCCCATTCCCATCTTGTAGGCATCGGTATGGATTTCAAAATCTGCTTCTGGATCGTATATTGTCAAAATTGGTCTCTTGGTTAGTTCTTTTAATCTTTGCTTGTCTTCTTTACTAAGATCTTCGTTTACGTCATATTCTACCTCACCTCATATTCTATAGCTTCGTCTTTTATTCTGTCATTGTATTCTTTTGAATCGTAGCAGGATTGTGAGTTTTCTTTGTGTTCGCCTTTGCTGTCGTATTTAACTTCTGACAATTCCAAATTTCCAGCAAAGGCAGTGTTTGAACATTGGACCCCTCAGAATATACTGTCTGAGTATATTCTGTATATAATTTTTATGGTCACGTGCAATAAGATGTTTTGAACGACGTCTCAGCAAAGAACACGTAAGGTAGTCCAGACAAGATCTGTAGCGTTTCCATTTCCTATGCACATGCTTCTTAGCACGTACTGTATTAACTATGTCTTGAGAGAACTAGGGGCTAGGGGGGTGGGGGGTAGCCTTTGAGAGGCGATCTATGGCAGAATGAAGATGATGATATAAAAAGTCCACTGTAACATTTTCAAATATTTCAGATCAGCTTACATTATCAATATAATTGTTAATACCATAGGAGGCTTTATAATGCATAGTGCAATACTCAAATGGACTTCTGTGATATTATTGACGGAAATTCAAAATTCAATATTACTCAATAATTAGCTCTTTTATTTAATTCAATAACTCATTCATTATAAAAATAAAACCTTAAACATTATATGTACTAAGTAAATTGAGGTTCTATATCACATCTCAAAGATATATTACGTCGTAACAATTTATATAATAGAACCTCAATAAACAATCAACTAAAATATTGTACACCAAAAAAATTCTATTACATTTAAAATTGGAATATTACTATTCACTTCGATCCTGCAACATTTTGCTAACTAAAAACAAAAAAAAATTAAATATATATAACCCTTAACACCAAGATATACTAACTTCTTTTTGAACTTCTCCTTGGTTTTGAAATTGCTATGGGTGGAGATTCTATATCAATAGCGTTTGATCTAAACAAAACTAGCTTTTTCTTTGAAGATTTTGCATGTGGTGTTTTTAGAATACCCTTAGCTGGTGTTGTATCAGCCTACACAAAATAACATTAATATAAATAACAACAAAATATACAAATTATTACCGAAATTGTTACTCTTCGTTTTTTACTAAATGCATTTTCAACCATAGCTAAATCTGGAGAACTCACACTCTCTCTAATATCATTATTCTTAAAAGACACTGATAAACTTGACCTAGTAACTCTTGAGTTAGACACTGGGGGAATATTTTCATTCTTTTCAGCGTTTTCTTTAAATTTTAAACGTTTTTCTTTAATTAAATCTCTTAAAGAGGATTGAGTTTGTACTGATGGTTTCGACGCTTTTTTAATAACCTTCCTTTTCGGTTGCGGTTTGTTTACAATGGGCAAAATTTCCTCCCAATTGTTATTGCATAATTTGTTTAAGTATTCGAATCTTTTGTTAACATCATCAATTTCTAGACAAATCACTTCCCAATAACCGTGTAAATCCGTACAAGTTACCGGTTTTACCGAGTTATTCATCTCACAATCTATAATTAATCCACGAAATCTTTGAAATTTCTTGTTTATTAATAACTTTGATTGTCCTATTGCTGTGTTGATCATATCACAAGCTTCTTCCGGTGGGTCTGTGTCATTCTAATTTACTTTTTTGATTAATTTCGATTAATTTGATCAATAAAGAACGTACCTTATATTTTATCCAATCATCACACATTTTCTCAATTCTTTCAAGTTCAGCATTTAAAAGTTGATGGAAGTGAGCCGCTCCTGCTTGATTCCCAGTTGCTTTAGCCAATTGATCTGAAACATCAAATAAACCACCTTGGGATCTTCTCATTTTGTATTCTTTTCTTGCGCTTGATTTTCCTCTTGTTATTGTAACAAACGGGCTAACATAAGCAGCTGCAAGTTTTTGTTGTACTGGTGAGGTGTAGTAATTATTGGATTGTTCAGGAAACTGCTTAACAGGTGAGCTGAAATGAAAATAATTATAAATGATTAAATGTCAGAAAGGTATTATTTATAAAATCGTAAAATGAAGAGATCTGGGCACTGTTCATTACAACACTGAAGAACCAAGGAAAATAAATAAGGTTCAGTACAAGACATTTAGTGCTAAATTTGTTTTGTATCAGTTATGTTATTGACATTTGTTGCTCTGATTTTGATATCAATGCTAAAGCTTTAATTACTTCAGAAAGACCATTAATGCACAGGGTGTGGCAAAAACACCACCTTAGTTATATGAAAAAATTGGAAATTTTATGCTCCAAGTGAAGCCTGAAATCGCGGAGGTTTAAATCTGGTCATGGAACATCGCCACAATGGATAGATGCTAGAAAGACGGTAATAAATAAACATACACAACGATTCGCCTGCGTAGGCGACATTGAGGTTGGTGCCAGAATTCTGCCGCTGAAAATTTATACAGCACTGATGAGCTCAGGCAATAGCTATGGCTTACAAAATAAATGAACAAACAACAAAGATCATGCCAGTAACTACCTCGATGCATATTAATCATGACGTTGGAGAGAATTTTGCACTAATTGCATTTAACGAAAGAAATCTTAAGATGTAGTTATTGTTGTTTATCTTAACGGATGTAATCTAAGCCTCTCCCCAATGTAATATCTCAAATCCCATAATTCCATCTTCTTCAAAAGTCTTGATGAGCTTTCAAATCTCACCAACACTATGTTTTCAAATACATTTCCATGTCAAATATGGATGCGCTTAAAATATATTAATAATCTGATGTTACTCAGAGATTCAGTATCATTAACACTAACCTTCAAGTTCAAGACAGAGACACGAAAATCACCATAATCTGCTGCATTTATATTATAGAAAGACATTATGAAGACATTTGACTTCATATGAGTCTGTCAAATAACGAACAAATGATTCTGGTAGATCAATCAGAATAGAATATGTCATATTCATTTGGAATACTGACCACTGATTTTACGTCTCTTGAGATGTATTACATTTTTCCATGCCGTCTGCTACACTGACGATGCTGTCCTTATTGCAGATGCTGAGGACAACCTCGAAAGGTTACTACATTCCTTTAACACTAATCAAAAGAATGAAATATGCTTATCAAAACAGAGAAGACCAAATCCATGAACAATAACATTAAAAGAAACGATAAGATGTAAGCTGGTGATCGACTCCAAGACTGTCGTACAAAGATTGTGAATAAGAGTGCAAGACGCACGTCAGGAAAATGAAGAGTGGAAAGACAGCTGAGGAGGACAAAATAGTACCAGAAATGGTGAATTGGTCGAATAAATTAAAAAACTGTTCCAAACAATATGCCCCATTAATGTCATTTCAAAGCTATACTCCAGAATACTGGTGGACATTAGTGATTAGTGAAAAGGTGTTAAATAGGGGAACAGTTTATTCCCATTGCTATTTGTAACTTTTATGTATGAACTGGTAAATACATGCAAGAAAAGAACAGAAACTTCGGTGGTTGGTATGTTGAACCTCAGACCAATCAGGTGCTAGGCTCTGATATATGCAGATGATGTAGTCCTCATTACAGACTCGGAGAGGAAACTGCATCAGGCTATACTCGAGCGATCAGAAACTGTAAAGGAGAGCGTATGATTTTGAACATGGTGAAGAAGAGTCAAGTTATGGTGGTGACGAGAACACAGAAACAGGTGGATAATATCCGCATCGAATGTAATGGTCAAGTTCTCACCCAGGTCAGCAGCTATCAATATCTGGACACGATAATCCACCAGACGGGCAAACTTATTGAAGAAATGAGGAGCAGACCAAGGCTTACTATGCCCTGAGTTGGTGTGTGTGTCTTAAAATGTCAAAATGGTATTGGATCTTGAGTAATATTGGAATTAAACGTATCATGTATCACGACGATTACAAATATATCAAAATTGACGTTGACATTCTTAACCGGAAGTTGACCATAACTTCATTAATATTGAAGATAAATATGTCATGTTTGTACTCATTTTAAAGGATTTTTAATGAAGATTACAAATATGACAAAATTGAGGTTGTCATTTTAAACCTGAAGTTAGTTATCATATAATAGATGTTTTATAACTGAAGTTAACCCAATGTTAGTCACTTTTCCGCACTTTCTTTTTATTTTTAACGTGTTTTTTGGGTCATTTCACATTGATTAAAAAAAATCGTCGATTTTTAATATACAGTGTGTCCCAGGATAGATGTTACAAGAGGTATAATGACTTAGAAATTTTTGAATTTTATTTTAGGGCTGAGGAATTAAGCCTTGCTTGGTGTGGAGAGAATTTTAAGTATATTTTCATATTTTGAAAATCAACTCTCCTTGATAGTGAAGCGAGAACTATTTTGAGTTCAGGTAAAATAAGCTTTTTGTTCATGATACGGCAAAATATCATTAAGAAAAGTTATTCAGAATGAGAAATTATGGCACTATGCAAAATTTCAGAAAGATATACCTACATTAATTAAACCACCATATTTTAGATTAGATCAGAGTGAAGAAAAAAAAAACAATGAAAATGCAATGAAAAAAAAATGACTTAAGTAGTCGCAAATATTGACAAATAAATTGTATTATCCCTCAGTTTTAGTTCACATTTCAATTACTATACAATATTTATGTCATTTAAACTAAAATGTGATGATTCAATCAAAGTAGATAGATCCTTCTGAAATTTTGTATAGGACCATAATTTCTCATTTTGAACAACTTTCCTTAATAAAATTTTTCCGTATCATGAACAAAAAGATTACTTTACCTAAACTAAAAATAGTTTTCGATTCATTGTCAAGGCCGCCTTTGTTTTCAAAATATGAAAATATTCTTAACATTCCCTTCACACGAAGTAGGGCTTAATTCCTTAGCCTTAAAATAAATTTCAAACAGTTTTAAGTCATACCTCTTGTAACATCTATCCTGGGACACACTGTATATAATAAGATGATTCTTGAATTTTTCCCAAGATTCTTAATATTTCTTTTGTTAAAAAAGAGCGTTCTTAAATTTTAACCTCGAAAGTTGTAACACTTCGTCCTTAATTTCATTTTACAACTTTTTAAACTTCAATTTTGTAAATTAGTAACTAATAATCTGATTTTGACGTTGATATGTGATCTTTTTTAACAAAACAAAAAGAAATATTAAGAAACTTGTTTGTAAAATGGGAAGGATGAGGGATGTTAATCTATTTGTAGAGTCTCTGAAGATGGCTAAGGGCCGAAACTGGTTAGACTTAAATTCTATATAAAATAGAAACCAGTTGAAAAGTACAAAATCAAACTCTAGATAATTTGCTTCAAAGTTTTTTACACGAAACATCATTTTGACTCTAGTATTTATGATTAAATTTATGCCACGACTTACAGAAACACTCTGTATAATCGTAAAACGACTGACCAAGCGGATTCTGTGCTTGTGATGGCTGTCATCAGTGTTCTGTAATAAAAATAGACAGGCACTAAACAATTTTCAATAGTTTGAGCCTGTCTATTCTGAGAAGTCTTATATTTTTAGAGAGATAAAAACGAAAATCCCGGTTTTCTCAACATTGTTCATTTGTCGCTTAGTCAAGTGATGCATAACGCGGTCCAATTGTCAATTCATATTTCTATTTTCAAGTGTTACCAACTGCTACATACCTATTTCCCTACATTGTCAAAATTTATTTTATTTTTGTTGAAGAAAATGAATAAAAGCGCGAATTACAAAAATAGCATAAAAAACACGTTCTGTAAGACTCGTTTTTCAACTTGAATTGGTGCATTTCAAGCGTGTCTTAGGAAACTAGTTTTTTAATATACTATTATACATACTATTTATCAGATTAAATCAATAATAAAGTTTGTAGCTTAAAAAAAGATATGATTTTTAATTGTAATATTTTAATAAACTCTATAAAATTTAAATTTAAGATCTCTTTCTATGTTATATGTGCATTTAATGTCAGTAAATTGCACCTTGTATTAAATTTAATAATCAATATGATAAAGGCAACTTTTTTTATATTGTTACTGTATTACCTTTTAATGCAGTTTTCTTTTCATTTGAATTTGTACAAAATCTCTGTATTTGGGACTTACTGTATAGAGATTTCAATGATAAATAAATAAATAAATTAAAAGGGTTATTAAGGAGTTTCATGCAGAATTTTTTTTTGTTTAATGGGTCTAAAATCACTTGAATTTTGATGCTTTGAATAGTAACAAATAACATAAATAATTGAAAAATAATTCTAAACTTAACTAAATTTTCTGAACAAAATATTGTGTATAATTATGTATGTATATATATAGTATGAATATATATATTAACTCCCCATGTTTCATACTTACCAATCTTTATTATTCTCCATTAAAGGTTTTTTCTTATTATTTGTTACATGATTTGGCTTCTTTTCAGGTACATTTTTAGTTTTTCGTTTAGTTTCTACATTTGAAATGGTTGCTTTTTGAGTATTTGTACTTTTTAAATTATTTTGAACACTAGATGGTTTAGTTTTACTTCGTAATCTAGATGTGATTCCATCATTTCCTTGTTTTATATCGCTGACTTTAAACCCCATCACAGTTACCGAATCTTTTTTGGTTTTTTTAGATTTAATATCAAACCGTTTTCCTTTAATCGTTTTGTTGATAAATTCCAAATTAGGTGCACCAATATCGATGGAAATATGTTGGACTTTAAATATTGGCTTTTTATTCGCTTGTTTTTCTAATTTTTCTTTGTTTCTTTTTTCCTTCCATGCTTTTAAAGCCAATAATCGCGGATTTTTTACCACCTTTTCCTCTATTACCTCTGGAGAAGTACTAAGATCTCGGATACCCCTCTTTTCCATGAACAAGTCATTTCTTTTATTTCGTCTATTTTCATTCATCTCCTTTCGTTGCTTTTTATTTATACTAACACGGAATTTTGGCTTGAACCATTGTTGAAATCTTGAAGGATCTTCCATTTTCGGTTAACCTTTTAAGAAGCTATCTGAAGCTATCACAACGCTTGAAACTTGACGTTAACGGTTATATCACGTGATTTTTAAAATACTCGATTTTCATTGGATAAAACCAAAAACATATATTACGCTTCTGTCGTATAGATGGCGCCACTAACAAAAAGTGATTTATTAAAAAAAATAAATTTATTCTAATTAATATTTTATACAAATAAAATAAATATTACAAATTAATTACTTAATTAATTTAAACACTACGAGACAGTAAACTCTCATAATTATAATGTTTACTATTTCTTGATAAATAATTTGATTTTGGTCTTAATGAGCCTTTTACATCTGATAAAGTTATATCAATATCTTTAAAAGCGTGCAATAAAAATATAGCAATCACAATGGTAAAGAATCCGCAAACGTTTCCCAAAACATCTTTGAAACTCAACTTAACCCATTCTTTAAATAAAATAGCTGAAGCGATTATAACTAAAGTGGTAAAAAAGACGTAATAAACGGGGGTCACAATACTTGTGTTAAACAGATCTAAAGCTTTGTTTAAATAATTCATTTGAATTGAAATGCAAAGACAAACCATAATAAAAAAGGCGTAGGTTAGCCAATTATTAAAATCATTGCTTTTTCCAGAAATGGTATCTTTTAAGGCTAATCCTAAACCTTTACAAGACATCACAGTTAAGCTACCAACAGCAGAACATAAAATTATATAAATTACAATGTATTTATGGCCATATTTTGGCCCAAAATAAAAACTAATCGCTAAAGAGGCAACTATCACAACATTTACATATATTATAAATAAAGGTTCTTGCAACTTATTCAATAAAATATCAAGAGATTCTACTTCCTCTTCTTTTGGTGAGTGTAAAACAACAACTGTTGATCCTAAGATACATAAAAGACATCCAACCTAAAAATAATTCATCATTAAAATGTGTCTTCATCTAAAATATCTAGAATCTAGATACTAGTACTTACTTTTCCAAGAAAGTTTAATTTTTCATTGAGATATTTCGAAGCTAATATTGCAGATACCAAAACACTTAAAGCCCCCAATGGAGTTACTAAAGAAGCCGGTGCGAAAGCGTAAGCAGCAAAATTAGCTAATTCTCCAACTCCCACTAAAAAAATTAATAATAAAAATAAATTATTATTGTTATTAAACGATAATTAACTTACTCATAAGAAACCCCATCCACCACAACCATTCTTTTAAATAACCAAATCCTCCAGATCCAGCTCGGAGGATACCATTTTTAGCTAGCCGCAACAAAGCTAACTTTTTCACAATAAAACTTGTTCCTATAAAAATCGTCGAGGAAATAGCTAAACCCAAACCGATATAAAAATCTCGTGATGTGTACGGAGTCGATTTAAATTCATCTAAAGTTGTGGTTTCCATCACTTAGTTCGTTTGTGTTGGGTTAATTTTAAAACGGATTTGTACTGGTGATTTAGAATAGTATAATGAGTATTTTGAGTTTACTTAATCAGATACTGATAAGACCTGAATCATCACTTATTATCTTTTATCCTTTAAATCCGTAATTTGTAATTGAGGTTATGTTAAACGTCAGAAATGACAAATATTTTTTTTTTCTAAATGGAACTAATTTTATTTCATTTATCATTTTGCAAGAAAATGATTAATTTTAATGAATAGATTAATTTAGATTTTTTTTCATAATTATTATTCACAATAAAAGATAAAATAACAATTATTTGGACTGCGATCTATTGCAAATTTTGTAATTAGATATCTTTATAATAGATGGCGCATTTGTAATTTCAATAAAGTGGGTGATTTAATTTAAATGTATAATTAATTAATTGTTTATATTAAATCTTATTAATACAGTTATATTTTAAACTTTATCTAATATTGTAAAATACAATTTATAAAGCTTTTAGTCTAAGGAACTAGCAATTTAACAATATCAACTAAATGTAGTTAAATCCCTAATTTTATAATTGAGGTTATGTTAAACGTCAGATATGTGAAATTTTTTTTTCTAAATGGAATTAATTTTATTTCATTTATCATTTTGCAAGAAAATGATTAATAATAATGAATAGATTAATTTAGTTTTTTTTTCATAATTATCATTCACAATAAAAAATAAAATAACAATTATTTGAGCTGCCATCTATTGCAAATTTTGTAATTAGATATCTTTATAATAGATGGCGCATTTGTAATTTCAATAAAGTGAGTGATTTAATTTAAATTTATAATTAATTAATTGTTTATATTAAATTTTATTAATACAGTTATATTTTAATCGATATATTATATTGTAAAATACTGTATATAAAGCTTTCAGTCTAAAGAACTAGCAATTTAACAATATTAACTAAATATAGTTAAATTCCTAATTTTGTAATTGAGGTTATGTTAAACGTCAGATATGTCAAATATTTTTTTTTTCTAAATAGAATTAATTTTATTTCATTTATCATTTTCCAAAAAAATGAATAATAATAATGAATACATTAATTTAGAATTATTTTTTATAATTATAATTCACAATAAAAGATAAAATAATAATTATTTGAGCTGCCATCTATTGCAAATTTTGTAATTAGATATCTTTATAATAGATGGCGCATTTTTAATTTAAATTTATAATTAATTAATTGTTTATATTAAATCTTATTAATACAGTTATATTTTAATCGATATATTATATTGTAAAATACAATTTATAAAGCTTTCAGTCTAAGAAACTAGCAATTTAACAATATCAACTAAATATAGTTAAATACCAAGGTCTATAGAACATAAGGTTACCCAATACCGATTCTCCTCCTCTGAGAGGCAAGGTGGGTCAGTGACGTAGCTGGTTCTATGAACAACACAACACCACCTATACTGTGGTACAGTCTATATAAAATATTTAAACCTCGCATCGTGTTGTCACGTATAGGCACATGTATAGGCTATCTTTTATTCTGACTGTATCGAACCAGTGACGTCAATTTGCGGGGTAATAATCGATACTACAGAGGCATAGGGAATGAGGTAACCTTATGTTCTATAAACCTTGGTTAAATACCTAATTTTGTAATTGAGGTTATGTTAAACGTCAGAAATGTCAAACATTTTTTTTTTTTGAATAGAATTAATTTTATTTCATTTATCATTTTGAAAGAAAATGATTCATAATAATGAATAGATTACTTTAGAATTATTTCTATAATTATAATTCACAATAAAAGATTAAATAACAATTATTTGGGGTGCCATCTATTGTAAATTTTGTAATTAGATATCTTTATAATAGATGGCGCATTTCTAATTTAAATAAAGCGGGCGATTTAATTTAAATCTTTAATTAATTAATTGTTTATATTAAATCTTATTAATACAGTTATATTTTAATCGTATCTTATATTGTAAAATACAATTTATAAAGCTTTCAGTCTAAGGAACTAGCAGTTTAACAATATCAACTAAATATAGTTAAAATTTGGTTCATATTAAGTGTTTAGTTATAATATAGGACGGTTTCCATTCGATACATCTAAAATCGTTCTTATTTAAATTAATAGTCTTGAAAACTCTGAAAAATTTGGTTAATGTATATAAATGATTATTTTTCGTTGGTGTTTTAAATTAAATTACCTTCGTAATTAATTTTGCCGTCTAAATCAACATCGGCCATCGTAATGAGTTGAGTAATTTGTTCTTCAGTTACGGGTTCACCAATTTTTTCCATTGCAATTTTCAATTCGTCTCTGGTTATATAACCGTTGTTGTCCAGGTCGAAAACCTGAAACGCAGCCAAAAGATCTTGCTGAGCGTCTTCGGCCGCCCTCTCCGGTAACAGTTCTTGCACTTTTTTTACGAATTCAAGAAAATCGTTTTCATCTATATCTTTACCCGAATGGCTGGCTATTTGTACCAATTCCTCTACTGTTTCTGATCTTACTTCAATCCCGAGGCGCTTTAACATTTCCTGGAGGTCGTCAGTTGTAACTTTTCCGTCGCTGTTACTATCTAACATTACAAAAGCAGTTCGCAAATCTAAAATTTAAATAAGTTGAATTAAAAGGATTTTTTTTTAAATTTTATTACCTTGAAGTTCTTTTTCGTTAAATTCTCTCTTAATGGAGCTCTAAAAATGAGTACAGCGCAAGATCTATTTTTAGGAGATTCATTTTGAAAAGAATTGGATTTTATTAAAACTTACCCGCCTCCTTTGCATTGTTTTTGCCATTATTTATTTATCTAAGACTTCTTTTTAACTAGCGCACGGCGTGGAGAATGTGTGTTTACTGACAGTCTCGTTATATTTTGGCAGTCAACTCGAATAAAGACCAACGTCTAAAACAAGTTTGCTTCAACCGTACGCTTGAACTCTCGGTATGATATTTTCGTCTGTCAGAGTCCCTTTGAATTGCTACTGGTAAACGGTTCCAAAAAAATTTAGAACATCATTTTGGATTAGTAAATGTAATAAATTAAATAGTCGAGATAACGTTATCTACAAACAGTTTATCTTTGTTAAAATCCAGCAAAATCGTGATGAAAACTTATGTCTCCATCTTTTTTATCAAACAATGCTTAATTGTATTTGATTTTTACATAGATAATAATTTTCTCGGTTTAATTTGTTTAATTAGCTTAATTCGTTAATGAGGGCATCTTGAAATTATTTGCTTATCACCTGACTATGTTGTTGAAATTGTAATTGAACTAATATTAAAATTGTGACGTCAAAAAGTTGAATCTTAAAAACATTTGTTACAATTTATACCATAATCTAACCCAATTTAAGAATTATTAACTAAATTAATCTAATAATAAAAAAATCTTTAACGTATCAAAGAAAACAAGGGTAGTTATAAGAAAAAAGGGGGAAAGACTGTATTATAAGTTTTGGGTTTTGCAGTAGCAGCCAAGACCATTGCCTCAAGGGGGAAACAAAGTTTTGGTAACCCCAAACGGTTTTCGAGGCGTCGTTTCCCGTGGGATATTAAGAATAACCTAACTTTCACCAGTTCATTAAGAAGTTGCAAACAATTGCCGGAAATAAACTTCTATCTTGGCGCCAAACTGTATTCCACCCTCCATCAACCACGGAAATTGAATGTTTAACGTTTAAAATTTTAACTTACAATCAGTTCATTGATTATATTAATATTCCACATTAAGAGCAAAGTTGTTCAGTACTAAAAATTGTTGGCAAGATTTGTAAAACGATTAACATGAACTACGACGATTAGTGTGTCGATACATTTGGCGAAGGTCAAATTTTTTGGCGCGGTCGAAACGGTAGCGAAACAGGTGTAACAATAAAAATAAAATGTACAATATTGTCGTTTTTGCGTAAATTAGAGAAAAAAAATTGTGTGCCGTCGGTAGCAATCTCTATTCTGGACGGTTACGAGTTCATTTTGGGTTTATTTTTGCAACACACGGTTTGTTGAGTAGACCGTTAAATCCCGAGGTGTTGTGCACGGATATTCAGACATCAAATACACACTTAAATTTCAGCTAAAATTATAACCTATTTACAAGTTCAACTGCTAATTGCATCTGTCGCAGTGCGTTCTTCATAATATAGGTAATTGAAAGCTTATACTCGAGCCAAATCATTGTCGTACTTGTACCGTGTTTGGCAATCGTTTCGCTGCATTTTGATTTAAGACAACGTTATTAATAATATTTTAAACGTATTTTTAGAATAACCATTTGTATAAAGAGTCGTTTAAAAGTAGATTATGTTTTATATAAATGTAATAAATTTATGTAAATTGACGGTTTGGACGAATAGACAATTTTATAGTTCATATAAATTTTAAAGACATAATTTCTATGACATTCGAAGCCAAATATGGATGTAGATACAGTAAGTGAATGAATTACTAATTAATGTAAACAAAGTGTGAAGAATTTTGGGGTAACTCTCATAATTATTGAATTACTTATGTTGTAAATTAAAGGAACAAAAATATTGTATGAGTTTTTTAGTTGTTATTTTAGAGCGAACCGTCGAAAAGTAGAGTTCGAACGAAACCTATACCACCAGCTGGAAGAGACACTTCGCGCAATCTAGAGGGTCAATACCAAAACGACAGAGTGGGGTGCATCCAATACGAACATTAGAGCTAACTCACTTAATAACTAGAAATTTTCTTTAAAATGCGTTAACAGTTTTGTGTTTTTGTAATTGTAGAGATTCTGCCGCAACTACCTCGGATTAATCAGCAAAAATCATCAATTTTTCCCTGGAATTGTAACCGCAAGCGCCCTCTGATAAACTTGAAAGGGAGAAATAAAGTTACAATTAACAGATAAGTGTTAAGTAAGTTATAATTACTGCCATATACATTCAAAACTGCTTAACGCATACTACAACACCTTAGACTGAACAAAAAAAATGTAAGATCTTGGTGGTGTTGTTTGCATTAACCACTTTTGTGTGAATATGGTGTCAATCTCGGTTTAAACAGGCAAAATCATGAAATCTTTCGTGGAAGACTCTACACTGTTAAAAATACGGACCTAAATTTAACTCTTTTTTCAACTAAATCTGGAAGTTCCCTCGCGACCATCATTACAGTTAGAAATTTAACAAAAATAAATTGCCAAGTGTAGTTAAATTCTTAAAACGTAGTTATAGGCTATACATAAGGTGGAGGAATGCAACTAATGATAATTGTTAATTAACTGACTCTATGATTCTATTGACAGGACACCTTTACGGATATTCTGAACTCTTTATACCTAGTTAAACTAACTGGTTTTAGTTAAAAATATCCTCGAAGGCGGTAAATCTAACACCTTACCGGATAACTTCAACTATTTATTTGTAGTTAAATTAATCATTTTTTTAGTTAATGATATCCTTGAAGGAGGTAAATATAACACTTTACCGGATAAGTTTAAGTGTTTCCTTGTAGTTAAATTAATCTGTTTTCTAGTTAAAGGTATCTTTGAAGGAGATAAATGTAACACCTAACCGGATAACTTCAACTATTATTTTTTAGTAAAATTTTGTGTTAAAAAACTATTAGGGGAGTTTTATTTCAGTATTACACTTGGGTTTTAAGGATTCTTGAACAGAACAAAATCAGAACAAATTTGTTTGCGTTTTAATAATCTATTAACAAACATAAGAACTTAATTCATATTTTGTAGAAATATAATGTGCTTAAAAACAATAATTTGGCACTTAAAACATTTATACATGTTGAATTCTATCTGAAAACATAATGGGATAATTATAAAAACCTAAAGTTATACTTAACTGCAACTTACTGTAAATTTGAAGTTTCCCCCTCAAGAACATTTGGCTTCTACTGGTAACATAATACCATCGATTGCTAATATATAATTGATAATAGTCTTGTATATTTAATTTTGATTTACCAACAGCTACAAGAAACGGTTGATCAGTCTTCTTTCCATGAATAGCTTCATCTAAGGTTTTAGATAACTAAAAATTCAATAATAAATTAGGCATTAATGTAGTAGGTATCTAATGTAATAAATTAGGCAGTTGTGTTAATAAGAAACCAAATTTGTATAGTAACAACTTACATCATGACAACATATTAAAAATAATAAGTAATAATAAGGTAATAAGTGAAATAATGTTAAAATCGCATTTTAATCATTATCTCAACCTGAAAAATAACATTTATAGAACGCATGAACAATTCATTTGTTATGAGTAGTTTGTTCATTTATTACCTTTCGGTAGTTCTTTTTGAATATTAGAAGTGTACGTTTTAAATACTTTATCGATATATTTCAGAAAGTTGCTTTTATACCTTCCAAAATTTTGAAATTTTAATCGAAAATCAAATCAACCTAAAAAGTAAAAATGTTTATTATTATGCAACCTAAATTCACAATATAAAGAAAAAAATCATTTGAAAAATTCAAATGTCCGGTTAATTTTGTGTGAGTGAATTTAGAACAGTAATTATCGCGAATGCACCAATCATACATTTTAACAAAAATACAGAAAATATTTAAAAATGAATGTACCACGATTTAATAATGTTTGTGGGCGCTGCGACTTGCTTCGACTAAAAATTGCCAATACTGTAGAAGAATCACGTGATAGATCATATGACCACAACGAAACCTACATAGCGGGGTAAATACAATTTAAAATTTAGTTAGTTTACACCGAATTATTTGTATTCTACTTTTAATCATAATGCAGAGTTGGAAAGTGTAAAGTTACACTGTGAGGAGTAAACAGATTAACACCGTACTTTTAACATCTTGTAACAAAGTTATTTTGACTCTGAAAAGTGTTGCAACATACTAGAATTTAGTTAAGTTTACCACTTTTTCGCGATAATATTTCTCCTTATACCGAAAGACTTAAATCACTCCGTAAAATTTTTAACAGTGTATAATGCATTAACAGTTATTTATATTATTAGTTGATAGAGACAAAAATCATGCAGTTCTGCAAAGGGGGGAGAAGAAGCAAGGAGGAATGAAAGTGGGAAGGAAAAAAGATAGAGGAAGTTAAAGAGTATACGTACAGTCATGTTCACGGGAAATGCACACTCGCTGGCTCAGCCCGTTTAGACAGCGGCATGTCGGATCTGACAACAGCGCTTGACCTTGAATGTGCATTTCCCGTGAATATGACTGCACCTGGGATATGGGTTCTCGGAGGGTAATAAGGTCGGGTCGCACGTGAGGGCTAAGACAAAAAGAGCGGACAGAGTGATGGGACAAGTTTGGGGATGGAACGAGAACATTTTTGGGAGGGATGTGGGGAAAAGAAAGGTTATGTTTGAGGGCTTGGTAAGGAGCGCAATGATGTACGGCGCAGAAGTATGGGGATAGAGAGAACAAGGAATACTGGAGAATGTGTAAACAAGGTATTGGAGATGGGTACTAGGGTTAGCGAGGGAATCTCCAGAGTATATAGTGAGGGAAGAGGTTAAGGTGGATTTAATAAGGGTGGAAGCTGGGAGAAGAGCAGAGAAAATTAGGAAAGGATAGAGAGAATCCTGGGAGAGTGCTGGAGGGAAATCAAAGAGAGGTTGTTGATATATGGGCAGGGAGATAGGGAAGGATATTATAGGAGAGTGGAATATTCAGTAACTGGGATCGGCAATAGAAGTGTGGAGAGAACTGAGGGATAAGGACAGGGACATACCTGGCCAGGAGAGAAGGTCACAAATATGGGAAGGAACATTATACATAATCTAAGGCATGGGGGATAGTGACAGAGGAACTACCAAGGTATCTGTTGATGGAAGGGGACGAGGAAGGGAAGAGATTGGTGGCCAAATCCGTTGTGGTAATGAAGAGAGGGGGAACAGGTACTGGGCGGACGATGTGAAGCGGTAGTGTAGGCTGTGTGAAGAGGATTAAGGGACATGTTGAGAGATACAGATTCTGAACAAATAATTCTTAACGTAGTGTTCCATATTTGCAAAATTGAAATTAAAGATTGCATTTATCAAAGTATCAGGGTTGTCAATCGAGATTGAAAGATATGGAGCGATATTTACGTATTTTAAATACTAATCGCAAAAAGAGCAAAGTCCAGAAGCAATCTGTGTAAAAGCTGGTGTTGAGTATTCGATTTGTTACTAATCTCTTGTTCGACATTATGAGGTGGTCATATTTATAATCTTCTCTGGCAGGAAAACTATGCTTAGATTATTGAGTGTATGCTTGCTTAATTAACTGGTTTTGGCAGTTAATTATAAGAATATCGTGATTTTTTATTTATTAAAAGCAACCGAAAATCGGTAAATACCAGAAGCAACTCCCAACTTAAAGTACATTAGGTAGTTTTATTAAAGCAAAATTTAAATTTATATAATTACCGTATGATTTTGTCCTATTCTTGCTAATCTTTACATTGCTGATGTGGATACAGTTGCTATATGTTAAAAAATTAGGTTTATTTCCGCTTTATTAGATGTTTCGTTAGTTTTGACAATTGCGAATTCCGATTTTGTGGTACCTTTTTCAGTTATGATAACAATTTTTATTAAAAATTTAGTAATGTAAGAAAAGATAATTGATAGGATTATTTTGAGATTGTGCAGGTCTCTAATTAGCAATAGCTATAAAAACATTCCATCTGTGACATCGTGTAGATATCGGTGACTTTAAAAGGGGCAGACCTACTTGGGTGTTCGACCATACATGAACCGACGTCAATTGTGTGGTTGGTATGTCGAGGCCGAGATATAGAAATGGTTCTAAGTACAAAATGCGTTGTAATATCTTTAGATATTTTTTTCAGCATGAAGATATACAACGGCGATCATGCAGGTTATTAAATTAAAGTTTATCCAGCTTTTGCAATATCCTCAAATCCTCAGAGCCAAAATTGGAGTTGATGAAATGTCATTAAATCTAATACGGTGAAGAAGATAATGTTAATAATCTCTATCTGACGGCCTAATTAATTTCTGATGATGCATTTGCTACATATCACAATTAATAGCAAGGCGATGGCTTTCCAGATAAAACGAGGCAGAATTTCCACAATATTCTATTGAATGATTGATCATCTTGGAATTAGATCTAAGTTCATCAGGTGATCATGATGAACTTAGAAATAGCAGATTTAATGAAAGTGTTAGCAAAAAGCATCCAGTTTGATTTGTGATTGTATGTGTTACGGCAAAAGTATGTAAAAAGTATATAATAAACAATCAATGTTGGTTAAACAACCAACAGTATCAAGTAACGAAAGAATGAAAGATATTCTTGTTATTCGCATACAACTAAGAATGTAGGAAACTAATCCAGTAACTTCTTTTGGACAAATATGAGTTTTTAATTTGGTTACTATATTGAACGAATTATTATTTTGGATAATGAATTTAACGCAAACAGTTCTTACAAAAATTCTCTTCCCAAACATTTTTTGATCATTAATTAATTACTAGAGACTACTTAAGCAAGAAGACAGTTTGTAGCATGCCACGTTTGCCCTTGTGTTTCTAAAGAAGATATTTATTTGATTAAAATGATTTTATCTATAACAGTTTGGGAGTGTGAGGATGTTAGTTGAACGGAGTTAATAGATTTGATTTGATTTTCAAGAAAGGTAAGCAGCGAATGTTAACTTGATTTTTATATCATCCACTTTTTGCAGTAACATATTGAATATCAAACACTTAAAAAGTAAACCAAGCAGTCGTGGATCTTTCAAGTTTTTACAAAAATATTGGCTAACTTTATAAATTTTTATAGTAAATTGTTATCAAATATAGTTTGTTTTGATCTATTAATTATATTTTTAGAATATTCACTATATTCTTGAAAATGTTGTGATAACTTCATCAGAAGTGGATGAAATTATACATTTGTTTCAAGATAACAGATCCTATCACACAGTATGATGCCTTCAAGATAAATACTAGAATTTAAAGTCAATCAAGAAAGTATGAGACAAATATTTATAAAATATAGAAGCAAGATGTGCAAACAAAGAATGTTGGATGAAATTGAGTTCAAAAACATTGTGGTTATATTTTATTTTATTTGATTTGTTTATATTTTTTAAATTTTAGCTGAACAATGCAAATTTTTCACTTTAAATGTAATCTGTTGACATGTCTCATTTCAATAAAATTCCTTTTTGTTGTTTCTAGAACCAGTTAGTATCATTTTACAGTATTGTTTAAGACGTGAAAATATCCTGTTTATTATCATTTAATCCGTTTAAAATCCCACGAAACAAAACTGTATCAAATAACCTTGATAACGGGCCACAATTGAATTCTCGGTAATCAATACTTCTTATTAATTATGAAGGTGCACTCATTTAGCTTTATATAGAGGTACGTGCGGTATCGACGTCAGTTCATATAAAACTTGTTACTTGGTAAGTATCAAACGAAAATAAAATTCGGAAAAAAAAAAATTAAATAAAAGCAATCCAAGTTAATAAAATAATTATTTGCGACCAATTGTGATATCTTATCAGCATTTTGCGATAAGCTAAAAACAGGTCTGCTAAAGTTGTTTCATTTTAATCTATACAACGGCTGTGTTTAAGTGATTACCTGTGTGTTTTATTCGTTTATAGTGTGCAGAAAAGTAAATTTCGAAGAAAAATGGCTAAGGATTTAGACGTCGGAATGAAATGTATCAAGTACATGCTGTTCATCACTAATTTTATGTTTGTGGTGAGTTTCATAATAATAAAAACACCTGGTTGGGCCTCAAAATGATAATAATCTTACTTAGATAACGGGTCGAACCAAATAAAAATTAGACAAACATCGTAAAATGTTCTATTTTTGAGAAAAAATTTACGAGACAACCTCTCGGAATCGTTGTTTACTTGGATCTCCCAAAAATAAATAACATTAAACGAAAAATAACGTATTTTATCACTTTATTTCGTTTCAACACCATGATAAATGAGTTAATTTTTATTTAATAATAGAATAATTTTAACATCAGGGAAGTAAAAATAAAAATTATTTTACGATGAAGAAAGTTTTAAAGAATTTCTTGTATAACGTGTTGAAAAAAAAAATATTAACGTTGTTAAATGGCGATCGGTTTTTTTGTCGTCACGCTTATCAGCAAACCGATAATGTTTTAAGTGTTTGTGCCCGCTAACAATGCGATGTGTCATCTAAGTTTTTTTTTAATTTTATGATGAATTAAATTCTTTTTTATTTAAACGTGAAAATAAATTAGATTCTGTTGGAACAAAAAATAATGTCATGCTAACTAAGCATTGACACGTCATGTTTTACAACATGGTGCAACATTAATACAAAAAATTTTATTTAAATATTTTTCTTTTAAATAGATGATCGGTTTCTTATTGATTTCTATTGGAGCAACGATAACAACAATTTACAATGATTTCGAACTTTTTATGGAAGACCACTATTTCAGTCCGGCTGCATTATTTGTTGCTATTGGTGTAATTATTTTTATCGTTGCTTTATTCGGTTGCGTTGGAGCCATTAAGGAAAGCACATGCCTCGTTAATACGGTAAGGAAAAAATTAATACCCAATTTTAATAAAATTTAAATCTATTTTTTGGTTTTTAGTACGCCACCTTCTTATTCCTTATTTTAATCCTTCAAGTTTCCGCTGTTATTGCTGCTTATGCTATGCGTGGAAACATTTATTCTTTGATCAGCGAGAGAATGACCGATACAATGAGATATTATCCAAAGAATTCTTATGTCCAAAACGGATGGGATGCACTTCAATCTCAAGTAAGAAATTTATCTTTTAAGTAGTCAATTAAAACAATTTTTAATTAAAAGTTCACCAAGAATCGATATCATCGTTGCTACTAAGAGAACGGTATCATTTCTTAGTGTACTGTAGACATAGTTAATAGAATGAGTTGCAATATAAATTAAAGATTGCTAATATTAAAGAGCTTCTCATTAAAAAATCGTCGATATTTCTCATTATTATTTTGCCATCGAATATCGCTGATGTAGATCACGAACAATGTCAACAAGGAATACCTTGGAAACATCTAGAATACAATCGATCGTAAAAGATGATGGGATAAGTCAATACAGATGCCTTTGAGATAAGAGATTTACATTAGCAATATACTTTACATTGAAAAGTGCTAAAAACATTATCCTCACTTTATTAATTTCATAAAAGTTGACACATGAATTAGGAAGATTAAGTAGCATTAAAATGATGAAATCACACTTCAGATTTCAAAAAAGGAAATCATCTGAGACTGCTATCAGCAAGATATCGGTTGTAAATTTAGCAAGAAGTAGCATGATTCTTAAAGAGATAAAGCCACAGAAGTTTTATGACGATTGGAAGGATATAGAAAATTGCACTGATTAAGAGCTACTCCTTAATCAAATATTGATTTTATTTGTGTTTTGTAAAGACGATTTACTTATTCTATAATCTGAGGTTGAATATACTTTCAAGGGTTCCAAGAGAGATTTGAGCAGAACTTCTTGACTAAACTCAGATTATAATATAGTTTCTGCACGAAAGAGGCAACTGTGGCAGAGAGCAATGAAAACTAAACACTTCAGAAAGACTAATTCTTGAGAAATAGTTCTTTGAGGTGTTAGTTATGGAAGGGTTTTTTACAATGTGTAAAAGAACAAAACTGTTTTCATTTAACGCAATCTTAGTATTGAAAAAGGTCATCAAAAAGATACAATAATTAATTACAACAATACAATTCAACAATTACATCATAAATGCTTCTCTAACATATGACAATTAGACGTAGTGCCTGAAGACGGTTTTGCACGGAAACGAATTTGTTGTCCTTTTCTGGATGTTAACGCAACGTGATTTCTACCCACTATTATTGTAAAGAAGATTTGAGGAAGCATAAGTAACGACTGTAGGCGACTTTTTAATAATAGGGAGTGCATGCATGCGCCGTGGATGAAGAAACAATTCTGGATGGTCTCGGTACTGTGTCACTAGAGAAATGCATAAAATGGTATAAAAATTTAGGAGGTATCTAGGGAAAACCTCGTCTGGCATGTGCATTGCCGTAACGTATCAATTACAGTTGATCTCTAGGGACCACGTGGTATATCCCTGAAAGTTGGTGCACGGGATTGTAAAATTAGTCTTCCCAGAATAGATGAGGTACTCCGTTGATGGTAACTTTTCCGAGGTGTTGCATATTTTCGTTCGTAAGAGATTTGTGTTCTTACCGTTTGAAGTGAGGTATATGCTACAACTACTATCTGAGGTGGATACTACACGGTATCAAGACACAAAATTGTATTGTAGCTATCACGAATAGCGAAATGATGTTGCTCGGTAGAACTAGAGGGTGTATGCTCATTAATTTCATCAAAGTTCGCTAAAGGGCGAGGTTATACGCATCTTGATCGTTTTAGATAGATGTCTGCTTAATTACTAGGGATAAGCTAGAAGCTACAGGATGCTTGCCTTTCTAGTACGTGTGCTTCTGTAGAACGAAACAATTTCTGATGGCCAAAGTACAGGGTGTCCAAATTTCGATGGGTTTGCAGGGTATCTCAGTTATTATGAAAGATAGAAAGTTGCGGCTTTCCAAACCAAATTTTCATAGCCCTCTTCGTTTTTTATATACAGGCAGTGATTCAAAATTTACGTTTTTCAGACACCCTGTATCTCGGCTATCCGGAAATGTAAAAACGGGTTCTAATAGATTTTTTCACGTAGAATCCAATGGTGCACGTAGAATTTTTCTAGTCATCACGGTTTTTGAGTTATAAAGAATTAAGTATTTTAGAAGTTGAGTATTCAATATTTGAGTGGTGTTTATAACTCAAAAACCGTGATGACTAGAAAAATTCTACATGCACCATTGGATTCCACGTGAAAAAATCTATTAGAACCAGTTTTTACTTTTTTACTAAGTTTCCAGATAACCGAAATACAGGAGGTGTCTGAAAATCGTAAATTTCAAACACTCCCTATATATCAAAAACGAAAAGGGCTATGAAAATTTGGATTGTGCCATTGTAAGTTTAACAAAAAAGTAGCTCAGGTTCGCGAAAGCCGCAACTTTCTACCCTTCATAATAACTCAGATACCCTGCAAACCCATCGAAATTTGGACACCCTGTACAGTGCAAACCGGAGAAGGTGAGGCGTGGTTTAGCAACCGAGAAGATTTGTAGCTCTTTGGCTATGTTGCCAAAATGTCTTTAGCACACGTACACTGGACACTCTGATTGTTTGAATGTCATAAGAGCTGGTTGGACACTGGGGGGCATGTGGTATATAGCTGCAAAAGGAATTAACGAAATTTGAATTACGTTCACAGACGAGGAGGTAGAGAGCTAAGCCCAACTTATTATCCATATTCTTAATTAAATTTTTGCCTCTCTTGTGTTAGGTTGGGTTAATAAATTACACTGGTAATTCCAAATCTTACCTAAGCCGTCAAGATAAAATTATGGACAAAGATAAAACTCCTTATTAGCAAATATAACATTATTGTTGTGTATCAGCATCATCTTGTATTGCAGACGATAGTTTTGAAGTGGACGTAAAATTTTAATGCAAACAGAAGTTTATTAGAAAAAATTCTTCTTCTTTACGACCTAGATTTGCCTTAACCATTCGGCGTTACATCTTGGAATGACGATGTTGCTTAAAAATTTCTTGGTCTTCCACGGAATCACTTTACGTTCCAACAAACTATTCGCAACTGCATACTTTTCCTTTATTTGTTAATTGTATCTACTGATTTATTAATTGTTCCGAGGCAAAACTTTTGCGAAAATTTCATTATTATAATTGAGCACTCTATCACTAAAAAGTAATCAACAAAAATTTTTTGCTAGGTTGGTTAACTTTCTGGCATCCTGCAGTCAGTTGATGGCCAAATTTAGCCATTAGGTCTACATTTTGAAAAGAATGTAACGTAGCAAATAATTAAAGTTTTAGGAGTTTTGTCAATATTTCAGAATTTGAATGTGCGAATGTTCAATTTACAGCAAAATAGGTACGTATTTAACAGACAATTAAAAGCCCTGGATTTTGTTCACATCCTGAAGGTGTAACGGGGGACACACATGTCAGGTGTAATTATCGCGTAAGCATTGTTTCTTCATAAACGACATCTTTCAGGGAACAATATTAGAAGAAATCGGGAGAGGTTAGGTTGGGTGATTTGGATGGCCAGTTACTAAGAAATAATCTACTGGGTATTTATCATATACAAACCACATGTTCGATTGCACTTTATTGCTTAAATCTTCAAGCAATCGTGTTAGTTATTCTTCAAAACAAGTTATCGCCAACAAAATATGATTAATTTATTGCCAATAAGTTCGCAACGACATTAGTCGACGAAGAACGATTATAGAAGGACACTTCACTAATCCAGCGTGGGTTTTTGGTTGGTAAATTTTGGTTAACATCATAAATGTTCATTCAACACAGAATAAAACACAAGCAAAAGTTTTGGTTTGTTCTTATTTGCTTAACTGCTCAATTATAAAACGTTGAGCAGTTTTGACAGTCATTGCCATACAGATCTTAATGCATGGATAGATGCAAGAATTGATATTTCTCGGACCACTGCTAATACCCCAATTGGATTATGTTAATATTAAGATGTCTTAATCATTCTTGAGATTTATATTGCATTCTTTAAAAATTTAAAATTTTTATAATTTAAATTTTATTATTATAATTTTTTATTAATTTTTTAGCTTCAATGTTGTGGTGTCTACTCTTCAACTGAATGGGAAGGATACTTATCAGGAGCTAATCTGACTACTGCTGTACCAAACATTCCAGACTCTTGCATCAGAGATACCATTGACAACATTCCATTTTTAGCTGGATGTTTGGATCGATTACATTTCGTAATTTCAGAATGCGCTCTTTTAATTGGAACCGGTGGAATTTGCGTCGCTATTGTTCAAGTATGTGAAAAATTCATACATAGAGAAAAAATTTTATAACAATACAATTATTTTTGTAGGCTTTGGGAGTTATTTTCGCCAGTATGTTAGCGAAATCGATTCGTCGCATTAAAACCGAGGAGGAATACAAGAAACAACAAAATCGTATGAGATTGTACGCCCAATTGGCTAAAGGAACCGATGAAAAACCAACTCCCGTTATTTACACCGCTAATAATGATTCTACTGATGCGTAGATTTTAATTAAAAAAAAAGATGTTTATTAAATAATTAAATATTCTTACTTATATATTTTTTTTAATTTTAATACATTTTTATTTCTTTTGAAAAGTATATGACAAGTATACATTAAATTACAGCTTTTGAGATTACCACCGTACTTAAATAATTAAAAATTGGACATCGTTAAAAAAATAATAAAGTAATACATAAAATAAGGTTGTAATGTATTTTATGATATAATAAAAATTATTAATAAATTTAGATTATGATTTTAATTGTTACGTATTTTTTTCGTTATTGTAACTCTTGAACAAAAGTTGCTTTCGTTGAGGGGAGAATGAAAAACTTTAATTAAACCAAGGAACTTTGCCAATTAAAGCCGCGCTAAGTCATCAGTGAAAATAAAATTGGGGCGATCATGGAAATACAAAAAAACTACACAAAAAAAGAAACTCATTCTACATTAGGATTAAAATTTTATTGATTATTAAAATTATCAGTGTCAGTTTTCAGAAATTATTTTATACATTGAATCGTGTCGTGGAACATAGGAAAATAAATCAACAACTCTTACCATTTATACCTACCTATATATTTTTTTGTTATATCCCGTTCTCTGTTCTCATCATTTACTCCACGGTTATAATAAATTTATATTTACAATATACGTCTACGATTTTTGTTTTTTTTTTCATCGTTAAATTTTCCATTTTTTTTTTGTTAAAATTTTCATTTTGTATACGGTTTTGAGGGTGAATGTATTTCTTTGCGCGTTTTTTCGGAGGATTTTTTTACAAACGTTCGATATCCTTATACGAATACAGTACAGATAGCCTTAAAGTTTTTGTTTCTTTTTTTTTTTCGACATACACCAGCAAATAACTAAGTTAATCACATCGTCGACTGCACGTCTGTTACTTTTATTTATTTATTTTTTTTAATGTTTTCTCTTTTTTAAAGAAAACTTTTTATTTTTTTTCTCGTTCTTTGAAAAGGGAAATGGGGCACGACTTAAAACTTAACAGTATGTGTACAAGACGATGGTGAGGAGGGCGAATATGTTTACCGAAGAACCCATACGTTGATTTCCACCGTGTTGCATCGCTTCGGGATGTTCACCTAAAACAAAAAAAAATAAATTGAAAAATTAACCCAACATAAGAACATAAGGAGAGGTATTTAGTTGCTCTGTTCAACGTAATTCTATTCTGTTCTTTGGTATTATTCTTCGTCGTTTGGAATCGAAAAGAATTAGCTCGAACTTATTGCCGCGGGTCACGAAACGCTGTCTCTCCCCCAAAGCCCGTAAATAACGGAAGATCACGCAATTTTCATTAAACGTCTACCAAACGTGCCGTTGTTGCGGTTCCCAAAGTTCTGAGCGGAAACGTTTCCTGGAAACCGCTACGCAACCCACCCGCTCTTAATCAAATCGTTATGAATTTCTAGAAACGTTAATTTCGAATCTCGACGTCATTTAAATTTTGCATTGTTTGAGGTAAAAATAGGTCAGAATAAAATAGCGATTTTAGTCAAATTTATCTCTCATCATCAAAATAGAAAATAAAAAATAAGTAGAATAGGAGGAAAATGCAGAGAAAATGGATGTACAACCATTAGTTTTCGAGACGTACCCATAAACGTTTAGGATATGGTCGATAAAACTGGATGTGTCGCAGTTTTAATTTTATGAGATAGTTGTTGTGATGAACGTTTTGTCGTAAACGAGGTCGTTAATGGTTACAGCTGTAGCGATGGTTTATACCACGTCATACATGTTTATACTATTTACAGATTTTCAGGAATTTTTAACCAACAATTACTTGAAATGATGTGATGTGAAGGAACCGAAGTGAAACCAAAAATAACTCTTGCTTTAAAATATTTTAGGACTTGTTTATTCAGGAAAAATAGTTTTAATTTGAGATATTTATCAGGTTGATACTTTTTGTCAACAACAGCCACCAATATATTTTAACGATTTACGATATTTACAAGTTAACTTTTTTCAAATAAAGTTTATGATCAATTAAACTGTTTAACTGAATTTAATCAAACATTTGAGACATAATCTGTAAGTGATACTTTTAACCGATTTAGAGATGATCCAAACTATTTTTTTTTGTAATTTAGTATTATAAACCAATTATCGTATTAATGAGCAATTATTGCAATATTATAAACGATTATATTGAAATTAATAACACCACTTTAATCAGCATTAAATACAAATTATGTACGCCGTCATTATCAACATTATAGGACCATTCATTTAAACGTGGATTATGTTTTGGACAAAATAATAACGTTTTGCCCCACTGCGACGCGTTTAAACACTAAATATAGTATCTAAAGTACAGGTGTAACTTTGAAATACAATTGTCTTCATCCTTGTTAAGTTTTGATCGTCATACTGATTCCATATTAACATTACATCGATAGGCATTAATGTTTCCTTATGGTGTCGTATATCCTCTTCCTTTAGTAGCAGTTACTACTCTAGATACTCCGAGATTCGAGATTAACAGTAGTACCTTGTAGTTGTCCTGTGGTAATGCATCAGTTCGCACCTCATATCCGTAGAGTATAATCGATCATTAAAATGTTCAGTGTAGAAACTTAATCCGTATAATATCTGCATCAGATACTGAAAAATTAATCTCCAGCGGCATATGACACCAAGTAAGCAGAATAATCGGAGTCTTATCTAGTATAAGGGTTTAGCCATGGTCCACCTACCAAATAAGTACTCCTCTTATGATTTTATTTGTACTAATTTGGACCTTTGCAATGTCGTGTGCATGTGCCAATGCCGCAAGATTGTCCCAAGTTTAGAAATGATAACTAGAAATGCTACTCCGCATGTTTGGTTTTTTGATACCCAGTACTGCCATAAATCAAATTTCTGGAATTTTCTAATCAGGTAATCCACATGATATAATCGGGCGTAGCAAAACCAGAGCAACTCGAACAAAAAGTATATTTGCCACGGATTTGGTTGATTTTGAAGATATTATGTATTTGACTTATACTATCTATTGCAGTATTGAGACCATCAAAAGATTTTTAAACTGGAAATGGCAGGGTATACTAACATAGAATATGTTGATATGAACGATAACACCATTTCTATTGAGAAAGACTTTGCGCCGCCATCATTTAGATCACAAAACAATTCAAAATGTATAAATATTAGCTGTAGGGTCAAAATATACTGCTCCAAACTATACTTTGTACGCTGGTCATCCTCGCAAACTTACATGACAACAAGTGCATGATTGTTATGAAGAAATAGGTGCTACAACCATCTCCCCGTTCATAGATGTCTAGTTATTTAGACTAAATAGATAAACTAGATAGAACAACTTCTTCACAACAGTATCTATGTGTCACTCTGGATTGCATATACAAAGTCTTTACTGCTATTATTATTCTATGCTATTATTGATCTTGAAGGTTACACCTCTGTGCTTTTTTATACCTGGACTGAATTTGCTCCACGAACCCAACATGACCAAAACACCAACAAACCTGAATTCATAAAGAATTGAAAAAAACACATAAACGTATTTTGAACAAATTGCATAAAGAGTCAGAATCTAAACGTTTAAATATTGCGTATTCTTGCTGAAGCTTATTTTGGGAGCCACAATGAAACAGTCTGGAACAGCATCATCTTATAAGATGACAACCAATGACTTGGAGAGATTGATACGATACATTGGCTCAATGACAATCTCGTAATCACCAAACCAGAAATTTAAGACATTTTGCTATGATTACAATTATTTCCTGATAAGTTGGAGTAACAGATTACATCAAACACAGGGTCAGCTAAGGTTCATCTTGGATTTTTGCAACCGGCTGCTAGTTATTTAGACTAAATAGATAAACTAGATAGAACAACTTCCTCAAAGCAGTATCTATGTTTCAATCTCGACTGCATAAACGGAGTCTTTACTGCTGCGTAAGTAATCCCCATACATACACGTCTTTGATTGATTATTGATCTTAAAGATAATCTCAGTTCTCTTTTATACGTGGGCTGAATTTGCTCCAAGAACCCCACATGCCCAAAACACGTGTGAAGTTTTGAATTTTTGTCCAAACTTGAATTCATAAAGGAGTTGTAAAAAACCATCGCGATGCTTAAAAATAGATAACACCAGCACATCACATAAACGTATTTTGAACGAATTGCATAAAGAGTGTCAGAATCTAAACGTTTAAATGTTGCGTATTCTTGCTGAAGCTTATTTTGAGAGCCACAATGAAACAGTCTGGAACAGCATCATCTTATAAGATGACAACCAATGACTTGGAGAGATTAATACGATACATTGGCTCAATGACAATCTTGTAATCACCAAACCAGAAATTTAAGACATTTTGCTATGATTACAATTATTTCCTGATAAGTTGGAGTAACAGATTACATCAAACACATGCTCCATCTTGGATTTTTGCAACCGATTGATTTCTACTATGACTATGAAATCATAGTGAATACAAAGAGACTTTTTGTCTATTAAAAGCTTGCTTATGTAAATACCGATATTTCCACCGTCTAAGGCTCACTTTTACCATCACTTGATAAATATATCTGATAGATAAATCCAACTGTTAGCCAATGAGAACGCTTAAAAAAGCTGTAACCATGGCAACTATCCCCTAGATAGTTTATCAGGAGGATGGTAAAAGTGGGCTTAAGTTAATACAGAATTTATCTGTCAGACGGATGCTAGTGGCTTTGGAATCAGGGCGAGTATCTACCAAGAGCTTGGACGATAAATTCTTGTCATTCCGTGTGCGAAATTAAGTCTCATCGAACAGCTCTTTCACTCCAATGAACATAAATGCCTGGTTGTAAAGATTGTTTAGGATATATTGTAGTTTTGGCTCTATCTCTACTCTTACATCGCGTGGTTGTGCGTGCTTCTCCAAGAATATAAAAATTCAATATAGACTTTTTCTATCTCGGTGTTTTAACAATAAGGTAAAACATACATGAGAGTCTCAAACCTAGATAGAATGGTGCCAAAGTGTTGGAAAGTCGTTAGGTAGCACTGTTAAGTACGTTGCGTCCTCGAGGCAGTACAATCATGGAAAAAGCTCTATGCCGGAGAGTATAATTTTTGACTGAAGTCCAGATATTAGAAACCCAGCATAATGTACTGAGGAAAAGATAGTGTTTATGATCATAAAGCTTCTCTTCATGCGTTCTACGATGCTCCCACAGTCGTCTATGGTATTCTGCAACTTAGGAAGTAACAACTTTGCGATTGTAGTAACCTACCTCTCTTGAGCAGTAAAGCAGAAAAAATAATTAAAGCTGCTTGCAATCATTCTAAGTTTCAATCCATATAACTTGATCCAGGAGTTTTTATCGTACGTGCAAAAAATTACATCAGCCATATTTTGAATCATTCTAGGGTTGTGACAAATTTCGAAGCCTCTAGCATTTTTTTGTGAGTTATTATGATTCTTTGCAGCTACTGGAACATTGCGCAAAGATGACTCAAAATGTGTTTCAAGCAGTAACCTGACCAGAGTGTCTCTTTGAATCCGCAGAAAAACCAGTATAGGAAGCTGTAGTTTAAGTTGAACATTTTGGAACTGCCTCTTTGCAATGATATTGATGTTAAAAGCTCATCATGGTTCAGCAATATAAAGAGATGTTACACACTGCTATATTTGGCAGAGGTTGAAATGTTTAGGGCTAGGCTATGTGTATGAGACGACTCAATACCTCTTTGTACAAAAAAAAACTTTCCAAAATCAAAAGATGTATGTCTCTCAACATATTTAGGTAACGTCGTATTTAGTTAGGCAACTAAAATTGCATTTCTGAACACATGGAGTATACTTATTAAAAACTTTTAGTGGAGCTACAAAATATTGATATATATAAATTTGAATTAACTTACCATTTAATACGTGAACTGAAACATTGGCCGGCCTGGCATTTGAAGGATTACATTGGTAATTTCCTGAATCAGAAGCGGTGGCCTTCTGTATCAGAAGAACACTACGACTGGTTTCACCGCGTTCAGTGGCGACACTGACGCCACCCCTGGAACTTGAATAGCTGATTATCTGAAACGAAATAAAAGTTAATAATGCAACGTTATATTCTTTGTTGTTTGTTGGCTACGGTTCAACTTGTGCGACAATCGAAACGAAAGTTTCTTGAACGCGAATCGAATCTCTGAAAGTTGGCGCTAGACAGAGAAGAGAGAAATTCAATCGGACCCTGGAATTGTGCATTATTGGCGTTTAATCCATCAGGCTGCGGTAGAGCGGCGCCCCGTTGCTATTGAATTTTGATATATTGCGAGGAAAACGAGGGGCGCCCCCAGAGATTCTGAACCTTCCAATCGAATCAACGGGAGCTTTGCGGAATAGTTTTTGTTTTTTTGCCAATCTCTTTCGAAAACTATAACACGTAAACCTATAGAAGTAGAGATTATAACCATTTTCAATTTATAAAATTACATTTTAGTACTAGGTAACTTCTTTTATTTTCTATCTTTTTAATTTTCAAGCACTCAAAGACATTTTTAGTTTCCACCGTTGGGAGGTTCTAAAGTTTTATAAGAGAGCGAATGTAGAGCAGTCGGTCAGTCCCTTAGTTCGTAAAACAAGCATAAAGCTGTCGTAAAAAGGTCCTAAGACCTTCTATCTAGGTTGAGGTCCGTATACCGATCCGACGGCCGGAATAATCGTTACTTCTCGTTTACTCACTAAAATAAGTCGTGTCGTCCATCGATCGCAACAGACGGAACCACACAAAAGCTTGGCCTCGGGGGGTCTATTTAACCGTAATAAATGCGTTTAAAATTTATAACCCTCCGGCGATTATACGAAACGTGTACATACCGTAGATTTGCTCTTCTTTGATATTGAACGATTCGCAAACGGTTTTTTTTTTCGTCGATTTTATTAAATTTTGACAATTTTCGCTTGACAACGTATAGCGGAATACAAAGCAAATAATTATTGGCTAGTAATTTGTTTGGGGCTAGCCGAGTGGTACTGTCGTTGTTTGACACTTTTTAGAACGTAATCAAATTCGAAATTTTCGACAAAATTTACATTTATCGATCCGTGTATACCACGACTCAATATACGGCGATAATATAACAACGTTAAAAGCTTGAAATTGAGTACTGTAATGTTTCAACTCGTTATTGAAGCTTAAAAAAAACTCATCAACGAAAAATGTGCAATCATTTTTTCATCATCCTTTTTTTCATTTTGATAGGTTATTATTAGTTTTAAAATTGAGAAAGTTTTAGTTTTTATTTTGTGGTTATAAATCACTATTCATCTTGCGAATAAAAATATCTCTTTCTGTTACAACAATTCCTTTTCGTTATATGTATGTGGGTTGGTGTATGCAACAATCGGATGAAGTTCGCGTATATCACAATCGGAGGCTAGTTTTGTTAGGGAAGTTTCGTTCGTGGCAGTAAATTTTTATTCGCCCCGTCCGCTTTTCGCGGTGGAAAATCTGTTTACTCGCTTTGCTCCTATTGTTTTAGGCAAAGCAACCGGTTCGTCGACGCCGGTATACAATGGGGCGCCTGCCGCAGTTCTTCCCCGCGGATCCCTCCGCGTTTGGGGGGTTTACAGGGAGATTTGTTTTGCGTTCGAGCGCGCAAATCACACAGAGGAAGCTATGCTCTACATTTGCGTAATTACTCCATCGAAGCTCGCTCAAATGTGAATAGGCTACGAGAATACCCTCAATAAAAATTATTATCTTTGAAACTGACAGGTTTCTATTGTAAAATGTTATAGGAGGGAATCGGTTTACTTTTTTTTTTTAATTTAGCTTGGTATGAAATTGTGTGCAGGAACAAGTTCGTTTAGGACTTTTTCGTTCCTGCTATGGTATGTGCGAGAGTAGATTTATAAATTCGTTCGGGGGAACTTTATAATGGAACTTCCGCGGACTGCGGACAGCGGAGACAAGTCTAATTCCCACCGCAATAAACCGTTTTCGAATGCGGAAGACCGTCGCAAGAGGGCCGAGCGATCGTTCCTGCGCCGAACGTCTTAACGTCGCAACGCTGGCGATAAACGACTCGCAGACGTTTTATTCTGGGTCCGCGGCAAGCCCATTTTCATATAAACGACGTTCCGCCAAGAATTACGATTACCATGAGATACTTTTCTTTGATTAATGGCTCGAATAGAAATGTTCCTTTTCTACAGATTTTATTATTTCTACATCATCCGATTTACACCTGGAATTTCATATAACTCGCAATACAGGGTGATTCACATAAGAACCGACACAGAACAAGGACATGTAGAGAACAATAAATTGCTCCCAATTTTGTTAATTCTCGAGTTTGTTAATATACATATACATACACAGGTTGTAGTATGGATGTTATTCCACCAGGTATTATTATTATGACAAGAAATCTAAACCAAGGGCAATCAGTCTATGATTAAGTAATATTCTTATTTAATAATCCTCCTGTTCTACGACTCCATACTTGTCTTAACCATTCCATCATCAGCTTTTCCATTATCCATCCTTTTTGTTGTGCCCTAACTAAGACGTCATTCGGGAAGACTTCCAGATTTCAGAATGGTTTTTTTCTCAATATTCATAATGACAGCAATTTTCCCTACCACTTGTTACTGCTAGCATCAATGTTATGCGCAATTTTTCCCAACCACTCGTTTATCAAGGAATTTCCTACACACCTCTTCTTTCCAGTGTGTAATTGGAATTGGGTGGCATATCCAGATATACTGCCATTTCGTCGGCATTCACAGTTTGAGACAAATTGAAATTTTCTTGAAAATCATTAGGAGCTATTGGGAAACTGTAGTTCTGCGCCTCTACGATAACACCATTCGGCGCATATATCCCACAGTCCAACCTTTGCTAGTATTAAAAATTTTGTAGTCCCTCCCTTCGTTTTTCTTGAGAGAACCAGAAAACTGCCTCGTCAATTTCGTGAAATCGTCTCTTCTTTGGTCCGGTAATTTTTTTGCACGATGCCTCACAGTCTGCAATAGCTGCCTTGTCTTTCCGCAACAGCCGCAACGTTACTCTCATTAACAGCAAAAATTGTACCAGCTTTTCGATTTCCTTAACGCTAACTTAATAACACCTCTTTAAACTTCGCTGTATAGAAGAACCTCTTCGATTTTTGCTACTTTTTTTTATAATTACGCTATTATATGTATAATTAAACACACACCACATTCGAGCTACTACGAGGACAGTATATAAACTGAATTCGTACTATTTATTTGTAAAATTATATTTATTTTCCAATTTTTTCTGGCTTGGTAAATTTAAAGTCTAGTCTAATAAAAATTCGTCGTAAGCAAGGTTTCTTTAGGTGTATCAGCGTCAGTCAACGGAAAAAATATATATTTATGGTTAATAACAAGAATCGCATAGTTTTGGTGTTATCGAATTGCTCAAAGAAAGATGCGGATTACATTCGCAAACTAAATTTTTTTACCACTATGCATTTTTAAAATCGGGGTGCGGATAAGATTCGAGAAAATACGGTAAGATGATTTAACGTAACTCACCTCTATACTAAGTTGTACCCCTGAGGAGTTATAGGCCTTCAAAGTTGGGTCTTAAATTTTTAAAACATTGAATATCTTCGTAATACATTAAGGTAGAAAAACCAAATTTGGTATACGTTATGAGTGTACCAAAGGTATTAATTGGTAGCAAATTGAACTCAATTGAGGCATTTCATAGGGTTGATTAAGGGTGATGGTACCCTAAATTTTGACAGATTTTTTTAACCTTTTGGCGGATTTAATACATTACTACTTAACTTCATGTGGAATTTAATTCTAAAACTTTTCTTATTCGTATTATTTTTTAAAAAACTTTATCGTTTTCATAAAAAACTTAAATAACTAAAGACACGTATTTCGTAATGTTACTTAAAATAAGAGAAAATTTAGTAGTCGGCTATGAAATTGTACGTCAAACTTGACAAATAGGTTATAAAGTTATTTGACAACAAGGTTTTCTCCATCACCTTTCATTCTTGAATTACGATCGATTTTAACACCAAAAGTACCCAATTTTGACATTTTGAAGACTTTCTCTTCATCACCTGAAAATCATTACATCTAAACTAAATTTGTTTATGGATGATGTCTTCTTAGTTAACAATAAACAACTTATTCCTAAAAAACTTTTCTCCACACCTTTCATCCTTGAGTTATGATCAATTTTAATACTAAAAGTACTCAATTTTGATATTTCGGTGATTTTCTGTTTATAATTAGAAAATCATTATAACTAAACCAAATCTGCTTATGAGTAATGTCCTTTTAGTTCATAATAAACCATTTATTTCAAATAAACTTTTCTCCATCACCTTTCATCCTTGAGTTATGATCAATTTTAATACTAAAAGTACTCAATTTTGACATTTTGGTGATATTTTCTTTATCACTAGAAAATCCATATAACTAAACCAAATTTGTTTATTCTCTTTTTAGTTCATAATAAACAATTTATTTCAAAGAAACTTTCCTCCATCACAATTAATTTTTGAGTAATGATCGATTTTGATAACAAAAGTACTCAATTTTGACATTATGGGGATTTTTTTTTATCACTAGAAACTCATTACATCTAAACAAAATCTGTTTATCAATAATATCTTTTTAGTTCATAATAAACAATTTATTCAAAAAACTTTTCGCCATCACCTTTCATTCTTGAGTTATAATCGATTTTAAAACCAAAAGTACTCAATTTTGACATTTTGGGGATTTTCTCTTTATCACTAGAGAATCATTATGAATAAACTAAATTTGTTTATGGATGATGTGTTTTTAGTTCATAATAAACAATTTATTCCTAAAATTACGCACAATTTCACAGCCGACTTTTCGATTATTTAAGTAGCATTAACGAAATACGTGTCACTAGTTATTTAAGTTTTTTATGACAACGACAATGTTATGTTTTTTAAAAAATAATAAGAGTAAAAAGAGTTTTAGAATTAAATTCCACGTGAAATGAGGTAATAATGTATTAAATCCACCAAAAGGTTAAAAAAATCTGTTAACATTTAGGGGACCAT